TTTATACTTATACCAAACGGGTGCACACGATCAACAAGATGTACAGTACCTGGTATAGGTACTACACCGTTTCTTTGAAAGAGTGCGTGGTTTTTTTTCTTAGGATTTTTTTTTCTGTATATTCCTACTGTTACTGTACTACTGCTACTGCCGGCATCTCTGTGCAGCCGTCCCGCTCTCATGCCGATCCTTTCCTTCGCTCTCTTTCATTCACTAGCTACCTCTCACTCTTAAATTTCCATCCAAACATCGAAACGCATATACATTACACTGAAATACTCTAACCGGACGCACATGAACTCCACGCACACGGTGCGCGAGGTCTAAAATATAAATACACAATCAGTAAAATATTTAAATACAAATATTCGACATTTTCAGTATTTCAATACGTATCTTGGATACTAAAACGAAAATTACTTGGTATTGTTTTTTCAATATTTTTCAAAATACTTGCATCGTCATATTTAATATTGTTTTCCATAGGTAAATTAAAATTTAATTACAAGCTTCGCATTACACTATATGTTGAAGTTGAATAGATTCAAAATTTTAACTGATATTAAATCAACACTATACAAATGGTATTATACGAAATAAACTCAAATATTAGCGATCCTTCCTGTGGAATAAAATATAAAAGTATTAGTTCTCGTGCTTATACATTATTTTACCGAAGTACTCAAATACGTATTCTGAATAAATTTTATAATAATATCTGTACTCAATTTTATTGCGTTGTCCACGCTCCGAATTGAAATCAGTGTTTCAAGAAAAAATGTTATATTAACAAATAACAATAATGGCTCAAAATTAATATTGATAAAAATGACATGGTAATTTAAGATAATATAAAATAAATATTTTGCAGATAATAAAAATGTGCTTTTTTCTCAAAAAAATAAAAATAATAATAAAATCTATATGCTAATATGACATATTAAGAGACTGTCTCCCTCATAATTTGTCGTCTCTGTAATTCGAAGAACGGTATTTCAGTGACATCACGTGTTGTGCTTTTTTCGTATTTTTGTTGTAACTCTGGTAACATTCAGTAACCAAGATCTACAAGAACATTTCTAAAGTCTGTTCAACTCTTCTTTCGTTTGGTTGGCAATGGTTTAATATTCGTGAATATTGCAGCCTGATCCTTAAATCGATTACAAGTTGCGGCCCGAGTTAATGAAAGGGAAATTTGAACTTTGACCGGGGTTAATAAAAACATTTTTTATTTTCAAAGGTGAAAAATTGTATCATTCGCTTCGCTCACTAATATTCGTAATCCTGTACTTAACATTTTATATTCAAATCTAATTTTATATCATTACAAAAATAGGAATAATTAAATAAAACACCAATTATAGATTGGTTTACAATGATGTTTATTATTTTTTCTGTGATCAACTTCTCTACCAGAAATCTTGCTCAGATTTTCAAGTGTAGAACCTTTTCTGGCATTTTATCTAGTTAGTATTTTAAGCAGGTCATTTTTTGATTTTCTAAGTAGAAAAACCGGGTATAAACGTAAGAAAAACGGAAAAATTTACAAAATGTATTATTTTCAATATTGTTTATTGTTGTGATTCCGGTAAAAATATTCGTAGTGAGTTGAAATTTTAACAGAAAATATAAATTTGTTAAAAAAAATGTCCAAAACATTTTAGCCATTTTACAGCTATTTATAGACATTTTAATTTTGTGAGTCTATTTTACATAATTTTTATTCAATAGGTATCAAATTTTAACGAAAACCATGGCTTTTAAAACATATGTAACCGAACTCCACTCAAAATCGTTTTTCGTTAGCAATATTTAATCGTTGCGTACAGATATACATTAAATTCCCTTGTTTCCTATCTTTCCAACTTCTCAACTACAACAGCGGACCACTCATCGTGCAAAGTATATCAGTTTTTTTTTTTTAAAATTTAAAATTTAATCTAAAAACTGCATATTTTATGTAGAACTGCATTTAATATCTAGCATACTGGTTTCCACTGTTTTAAGTACCTAATTTTTTGATTCCTCTTCATTGACTTATTCCGCTCTTATTAAAAAAATAATTTAAATTATTATCTTAATTACTATTGCTGACCTTATTATTTGTAATTTGGCCACATATATCAATTCCATTTAGTTAGTTTTTTTTCCTAATACCGCAGTACCTATCAAAGAAATATTTTTTCTAGAAATACATTTGTATAGGTTTTATCTTTATTTTGTAATGCGATATGTATAATTAACGTTAATACACAATCACAGAATATAATATTATTTTGTCAACATTAGCAATAAAGAACTTGCGATTATGTATCACTGATTGTATGTAACACAATAGAATGATTAATTGTTTAAAAAATTGAAAATAAGCCGTAGAAGTTTAAACATTTTTTTTAAGTAACCAATCAATCGAAAATTATTTTGACCATATTTTTTCTTTATAATTGGTGCGTATTTAACATCAGGCTCAAGCCTAGGGTTACAATTTTTTTTTTTTAGGAGGGGGAATGAATGAAATAATAATTAATTCATGTATTATATTGAAATTTGAAGTATTTATGTGAAAAAAATGTTCTAGGATAGTGAAAACAAATGCAGCTACTGCTGCAGTTATAGGTAATTTAATGTACTTCTGTAAGCAACGATAAACCATTGCCAACGAAAAAATTATTCTGAATGCAGTCCAGTTGATAATGATGATTTATTAATAAAATATATGTCATATTATGGTAAAATAATTAAATAGGTATTATATATTTTCCTTAATAATATTTGTTTAATATTGTACCGTTTTTCCCGTTTATTTTCCCAGTTTTTCACATAAGTGGTGAAATTCTTGAGAAAATCGAAAAATTACCTCTCCAGTCAGATTAGAAAAAGTGCTATCATTGAAACTCGGAGCATAACTGCTGGTATAAAAGTTAATTATAGAAAAAATAAATATTGTAATATTTTACTAATGTATTTCATATTTTATCCTGGTTTTCCCAGATATTATGAAAACCGCTTGGAAAATCAAAATATTACCTCCAAAAAGTACCATATGGACAATATTTCCTTTCAGAAATGGTACCGCGTGTACATATCGGAATTTCTGATAGAATTTTTGTACACAGAATAAAAAATAAAAAATAAAAAATAAAAAAAAAACATCTTTGTTAATCCAATACATTCTTTGCAACACTCAGAATCTAAAAAATTGAAACATTTTTTGTGTAAATTTGGTTCAAAAAATCAGTCACCAAAATGGCCTTAAAATGACTTTAAAAAGAATAAAAATTATCAAATATCGAAATGAGCCAAAAAATATTAACCGCGTTAGCAATATTATCCATTGAGAACGAATTAACGATAGAACTGGTATTCGATGACTTTATAAAAACATTCGATGAAAAAAACCATACACAAAAATATTCGTGTAATTAATTAATTTTTAAAATACATTCCTTTAAAAAAAATGTTATTTATAATTTCTTAATATCTAAATACGAATAATATTTAAATGTCTAATATATTGATATTGATTGATACGCTTGTATTAAATGTACGAGATTATGAGTGTCGGATTAATTAGTAAACTAAATTGTTCTGTATAAAAATAGATAATTGATTTAGAGAATCGTTTATGAGAAAAAATTATAAACCATTATACGAGAGGAGGCGGGGAAAACAAATTAGCCACATAAAAGCTAAATACGTGACAGTTTATACTAAAAGTCACAATATACAACTATATAAATGCGAATCGTTTTTGTTAATATTTAAATATTATGTATTGAATATAATTAACGCACGTTCAAAATTCGAGTATATTTTTGTCATAGCAAAACGATATTCTTGCTATCTCCCAAAAAAATATGTGGTAGTAAATGCACCTCTTGACAAAATCATGGGATAGAGGGCTAAGTGGGCTGTACCTCCCCCCCCCATAAAAAAAAAGTTTCTCGCAGCCACTCGTAAAATATGACTACGCAAGAAAAGGTTTTTCTCGTTACATTTTTTTTTTTTTTAAATGTACAAAGTATATCAAAAGCTCATTCTAAATCAGGGGTCGAGAACCTGCGGTTCCTTAACATGCAGTCTATAGATCTTTGGAACTTGTATCAATATCTAGACATTCTATAGATCTAAAGCTAAACCCATAAAATATAAATTGAAATTTGATTAAATGCCCACCAATTCCTAATGACATGTATTTTGTATGTTTTTTTTTTTTACCTTAACCATTGCGGCTCTTGGAAAATCACGGTTTTTTTATTAAATAACATTTACACGAAAAGGTTCCCGACCCCTGTTCTATATAGTGTCTGTGCACTTTTGAACCTTTTAAAGGCCAGTTTACACAACACGAGCTGCTGACCTGACCGTGCCTGATCCAACCTGACAGCTACTGTACCTGTGTAATCGCGCAAGACAGTAATTATTCGTATAATGCGGCTTCACGGCGTGAGTATAGCTGCACCGCAGTAACTGATTAGGTCAGCTCGGATGTGTAACCGGGCCTTTAGTGGCGCCTATGGAAGACCTAATATTGTAAAGTTCGGCTCCGGGGCCTATCCAAACGTCTTTTGACCCGGGCTCGATTATTTACCGGTTAATTACCCCAGCAGCGGCATCGGCCCCGTCGCTATAATATTGTGATTTCTTCCCCCGCTGTCACCCGACCAATATTGTTCACTTTTTAGTGAGCGCGAAACGCAAGTGTCCGAAACGTTTCTTACGCAACTAATGGTTCGCACACGTAATGAACACCGACGTTTATACAATCCGACCGACGTGTCACCGTCGTCGTCGTAGCGGCGGCGACCACTGCGGCGACGACGTAACCTCTTCGTGTTTTTCTTCTTCTTCTTCTTCTTCTTGCGCGGTTTCGGAGACGACCGCGACAGTGGGAGCGCGCGTGTCCGCGTTCGCCGAGCACGTGGGTGGGGGGGGGAGAGGGATTCGAGCGCGCGGCACAAGAGCCGTCCGGCCGCCGAGTACGGGGGCCAACCGTCCGTCGACCGCGCGGTCAGTCAGTCAGTCCGTTAATCGCGAGCCACTGTCGCCGTCGTCGCCACATAGCATATTGCAAGAGAGCGCGCGTTCAAATTTCTCGCATTTTTTTCCGCGCGCGCAATAAAGACTGGGGGAAAAAAAAAAACCACAACTGCGCCGAGAGTACTAACACAGGCGTTTGTCGGCCGACTGCAATAACGACAGCATCGGCAGGTACTCGTAATATTATAACTATAAAATATTAACGCGACTCCGCCGCCGTGCGCCTGCGCGATCGTTCGGTCCGCAGTATTCGTAACCGCCTGTGTTCATTGTCGTCGTCGCCGTCGTCGCTCCGCCGTTTCGTCCGCGTCCGAAACTACTTTCGACGTCGCCACGCCGCGCCAGACGTAACGCCGTCCGTAACTCTCTATCGCGATTTGTACGGTTAATTTTTAATTTTTTTTTTTTTTTCCCCGTACCGCGCGCGAATCGGTAACTCGTCCGCGCGGAAGTAACGGCGGCAAATGCTGTCGCGACGGCCATCGTAGTCGTAACACCGCCGCGGTGCACCACCACCACCTCACCAATAGGTCCGAGTGCAGCTGCAACCCACACCGGCTAGTACAACAACAACAACAACAACAACAACAACAACAACGACAGCAACAACAACAACAACAACAATAACGGCTCGAATACCGTCCGGAAGCGCACAGTAACAGCACACACAAGATGCATAACAAAAAAGGCAAGCTTTGCACGAAGCTGACCAGCAGTTTCCTGCGCAAGTGGTGTAAGTATTTAGAAAATAAATAACAATAACAATCACTTTAGTACGCTTACGTACAGCTGATAACAATATTATATTGGATTTTATGGCGTATACGCGTCTAATAGGTAGTCTTGTCGTGTTGCCATTATAATACGATAATGTTGTTACCTGTATTATCTATGCGCGGCCGTTTTTTATGGTTAATACCGCCGCCGCGGTATTGTACGGTAGGTACGCGCGACAAAAAACAAATATTGTTATTAATTTTTTTTTTTTATCGATATCAGTGATTTTTTACAGACCTGCGCGGTGTGTATATCGATGTGTATACGTCATAATATTATAATACTCGGAGATTCGATACCTTTTTCTAGGTGTGGTGCGGGAGGGGGTGTGAATGTCTAGAATAGCCCTAACGTGTTAAAACACGGTGGCTTCGGATTAAATACGAATTTTAACCGGGGGGGAGGGGTCGGGGGAGGGTCTTTGGTCGATTTTTTGAGAGAATAAGCCTCCCCATTCCCCGGGCCTCTCACCGATCACCGGGTGTTCGCGTAATCCTGCGGCACGGTGCCGACGGCCGAAACTTTTGGCTGATTATTTGTTGACGTTATCGCATCGCAGTTGCGAGGCACTCAGTCACGGTCAGTTTTACAACAATAATAATAATAATAATAATAATAAAAAAAAGGTTCCTGGCCGCGAACCGGTGACCGCGGCGACACGGTCAACAGGCGAAGAGAAATCTACAACGGCCGCGGAACGTGCGCGCGCGCCAGTCGTTACTGCTCCGTGGTCGCGCGAGTTGTTATCAACCGTAGCTTTAACAGCGCAACGTTATTATACGCTTATCCAGTGCGGCTCTTCGACCGCACACGCTGCGATGTGCGTAGACGCACGAAAACACGGTTTCGGTCGACGGAGCGCCCCGCGAGCCAGCGAGTAGAACGACGCGGAGGGCTCGCGCGGTGTTTTCTTTCCCCCCCCCCCTCGGTTTCTCGCGCTTAACTATCTCCCGTGTTCACTGTCTCTGTCTCCCCCCTTTCTCTCTCTCTCTCTCTCTTTACGCGCGTACTTTACACACTTTATATCTCTGTCCCTCTATACAATGTACACATTTTTTTCTCATTTCTCGTTCTCGCATCCGCAGCCCCGGACCGCCGTCGTCTCGCGTGCATCTTGTGTGCACGCTGTTATGTGCGCCGTGTCTCGCGCCGCAACAATAACCGGTTTCGTCGTGCACCTATATCATTACGATACGCGTGCGGTACAGCAGCACTTCTACACGAACCGCGGCCGCTCGCCACCCGACGGCCGCGACGCCGCCGCGCGTTTATTAACCCCCGTCCGTCTTTGCGCGGCCGTCGGATAGCAAACACAATAACGTACAACGCGCTCCGCACTCCGATTATGATCGCGAAAATAATATTACTGTTATTATGGCCTGACCGGCGATCGATGGGACGACGCGCGAAAGTATGATCACCGCCAATGACGACGACGAATACACATAACGATATACTCGACGACGATTATATTTCATATATTTATAGCCTTTGTCGTCATTGCCGTTGCGACAGCGATAATACAACGATAACCGCCACCGCTTACAGTCCATTCAGAATAGTAATGTTGTGCACGTACAGGTTATCTCTTGGTTATCTCTCGGGTCTCGGGCTTACGGCTGTCGCAATCGTAACGAGACGTATTTCGCCCCGTACTGCGGACGACAGCATTATTACTATCATGCCGTTGCCGTGCGTGTGTGCGCGCGCGGGTAACATTATCACCATTATTATTACGAGGATAAACGACAATAATCCGGCCGAAAAAAAGAAGAAAGAAAAAAGAAATACGAAATAAACGACGCATAACCGAGGACGACCGGTCGGGTCCGGTTGTTCGCTGGTAATCGGTGTTATTTACCCGGTACGCGAAGCACGCCGAACGAATACCAGTACTACCGGTATTTCGACGGTGGACCTAATAGTACCCCCCGCGCGCATATTATAGGTACCGGCCAATGATAACACGATCGCGAGATTTAATTAGATAGGTACGAGATAAATAATAATATTGAACTGTGTGTGTGTGTGTGTGTGTGTTTTTTTTTTTACCGGACCGGCCTTCGGGAAACGATGGTTTTTTTTCGTATTTATTTATTCCGCTGTCGCCGCTCTCTCTCGCCGCCCTTCGCGCCGCCGGCCGTAGTCGTCGTCCGCGGCGGCGGCGGCGCGGCTGTTACTACTTTCTCTCGCGCTCGAGGCCCGATCGTCCGTCCGTGCCACCCTTCCGTCCGACGCCGGTCGTCCGGTCCGAGACGCCGCGTACCCGTAGAATAGCTGGTAGATGTCGTAAACGGCGCGCGACATGGCGTAACGGCGTCACCGCGGCAAAACTCGGCGTGGCGTAACGCAGCGCCGCCGTCGCCTCGGCCTGTGACGAAAACGTTGCGTGCCTGTTTAATAATATTATTATCATTGTTGTGTACAACTGTCCGCGAGCATTCTGTGATAAGAAAATAATAATCACCGCTCTCGCGGCCCTCTCAATAACGCGGGTCGCCTAACATCATCAAACGCGTCCTGTCGTAAACAAAACAAAACAAACAAAAAAAAAAAAACCACTTATACGCGTATACACATTAAAGTAACGCGCGCGGTGAGGGACGTTAAGAGTTGTATCCCACCTACCAGTCGCTTAAAAATACTAAGTCTGTGAGTATTTGTTTAGCAATTTGACCGTGAAATAATTACAATATGACATGCGTCGGCCGAGTCACAATGGAAAAAAATCTTGATTTGTTGAACATAAGTTGGCAATTTCGGTTTTGGCTTTTAAATTCGCATTGACTGAGTTAGGTATAACAAAAGAAAATTCTACGATTTATTTATATTTATTATTTATAATATCCCCTCCCGTCGAAAATTCCTGAGCACGCCATTGCGTCGGTGACACGATTAGTCCTCGAACCCTGCAGATACTCACGCGAGTTATTCGTGTTTATAATATGAGTTAAATCTTTTTTCGTGCGAAAACGTTCGGTCACTAGCTGTAACTGTTATTAGGTTATAGCGGGGGCATGTATTTCGCGTAATTATATTATTATAGTTTTGGAAAAAAAAAAAACGACGATGTTAAATTATTAATCATTTACTCGAAATACCATTCAAAATGTATCTAGATGAACAAATACAAATACAAAGACGAGTCGCTGTCGTGCGAATACTTTCGATTTTTGCGATTGAGCAGTAAAAAAGAAAAAAGCAAAAGCGAATAATAGATATCCAACAAAAGAAATTGATCGCGGTAGAGACGATGTCCATACTAAACACACACGCAATTGTTTTGTCATGTAAATTTTTGCGATTTACATAATTGTGATTATATATTTGCACAAAAAACGTCTAATTAATAACCGTTTACACGCCCGACAAATAACACGGTGGTCAATGAACCCGCGCGTATACGATTCCTGTTTAAATCTCTGTTTACACGATGCGATGATCAAACAACGTCCGGACCTGTTTGGCGAATCGAACTCAACGCTGCAGTGGCATCACGGCGGCAGTGGCGTGCCCAGAAATTTCCGACGAGAGAGGACGCATAGCAAATGAGAATCATGAATAAATCATAAAACCGTTTTCTATATCCAACTAGAGTCAATTTTTATTTCCGTTTTCGAACGTAAATTATCATTGGGAAAATGAACAAATCGTCTAAATATTGGCCATTTAAAATAGACATTTGAACGTTTTTATAGGTTCTACGTTTAAATTCATACTGGACGTACATCGGACCTTATTTTTCGGATATTTCAACCGAGCCCCATTTCGACGGGACTTCGGTATTCCAGAAGTGAGATAATAATATTATTATATAATTATTGTGCTATATCGGTGTACACTCAGTTTATTGTACTCGCGGACGATGTTTTCCAAACAGTCGACAAATTTGTTCACGAAAAATTTCTATAACAACATCATAGAATAATAATAACAATAACAACAAAAAACCGTAAAAACAGTCGCTGGTGTTTTTCTCGGGGATTTTGTTTTGTTTTCGGGCGTACAACAAAAAAATTATAATAATGTTATCTCATCGGACCGCCGTCATCACCCGTCGTCAGCATTTTTTATTATCGTTTCGCCGCGGCGGTAACCTGACACAACGACGGTTGTGGATGTCCGTCGGTAAACTACACGCGCGCCTCTTCTTCGATTTATACAGGGCGATTATTTTATCACGGGCTGTCGATATACTAAAACCTACGGCGATTTCGAGTGATTAATAATTCGATTTCAGTTTTTATTTGTTTCGATCGTGGTTTCATGTACATAAAACTGTTTAATATAATATTACTTTATCGTTATTAAGGTATCTTCAAAATCGAGTACACTTACGTGACACTACGCATGACGTCGCTGGATTATCGATTTAATATTGTAATATCGTCACTACCTATACACGTGCATTTTTCGTCTATGTTTTACGAACGCCCGACATAGCGAATTTACGTTCAGTAGAGCCAATCTGTAGGGCTGTTAGTTTTCAATACTAGAGTGAATCGATTCCTATCATCAAAATTACAAGACAGGAACATTATCAATGATCGTGTACGTATCTTTTTTTCTTTTCAATTTTTAGATTGGTTGAGTGAATGATGAATGTCCACTCAATTCTATTCTCTACAATTACTTTCAGTTGTTCGCAAGTAGTTTTCCAGATGTCTTCTTTACGTAATATAATATGATCTGTTTTATAAATGGAGTTGTTGGTTAACCTCTTACAGTTTTTATCTTTATCTTTCCCCTTTCATTATTGTTGTTCTCCATTAATTTCGTTTCTTATCATGTGTCCAATGTACTTTTTCGTCCTTTCTTTGATAGGTTTCCGTATTGATTTGATATTTGCGTTTGTTCATCCTTAAGTATACTTCTAGATTTTTAGCTTTCACAGTCGAAAATATTTTACTTGGTAATTTTCATAAATAGATAAACGCCTAACGGTTGGTTCGAGATTAAAGAAAAAAAAATTACTCTGTACGTGAATTCGAACTGTAGACCATCGAGCGCGATATGGCACGTATCGACACAGCCGTACTATTGTTATTATTAAATAGAAATGTCGTGTAGGTACGCAATAAACGTAATTTGTATTATCGTGTACCTACTTAAATTATATACATATACTACCGACAATGTGATACAGGGTGGTGGTAGTATAACTCTACTGTTACTGACGGTAACAGTGAATATAATATTATTATACGCACACTATAGAACATTCCAGCGGTTCTCAAAACGAACGAACATAACTTTTGACTACGAAGTATGTGGTCTCAATGACTCCAGGATTTTTTTTCAATTTCACTCATAACCCGATATTCTTAATTAGGAGTGAATACAGAGTCCCTACCTACGGCTAAAATGGTAGACGCTCGAGTCTCTTCCCTTTTAGGTTAGGTACATGAGAAATAGGACTTATATACTAAAATATTTTTAGTAATATAAATTTAAAGTGTTATATACAGTCAACGAAAAAATGTAATGTAAGTTAAAATTAAAAATAAAAAAAAAAATTATAAATATTCCAAGTGTACCGAATTAAAATCCGGAGATGTTGGATTGAAATGCACACAAAAAACGTGTTAAGCAAAATTATACACAATTGGCGTTGACAATAATTTTTCGCGAGAATCAGGTACACATTTACATGAAAATGTCAACATTGATATTATTGGTTGTATATTAGTCTAGAATCTGAATTTATATTCTGTTAAAACGTTTGAAACATGATGTTTTATGTGTCAAAAATCGATGAAATATTCCCAAAAATATTCTTAATTCTCTCAAAATATATATATATATATATATATATAAAAAAAAAAAAAAAAACCCTGATGGTTATTAAATTCTTAGATCATAGATAATAGATTCTATTATTATTTATTGGAGTATCGTGCCTTCGTGGGTATATCAGTATAAAAATATTATAAATATTTTCTCATGAGTTAACAAACAACAATAATCTATCACAGGAAATATCTGAGTCAGCGATTAAAGGATAAACTAAACTAAAAACTCGACAATATTTCTGTAATATAATCCAATATAGCGTAAATATGCTAAAATATTCTCTTAAGTCAAAATACGCACTAATATGCAAAAAAAAAAAAAAACTTTTTTTAATAGAGTCTACAGGTTATGAAACGCAAACATTTCTTACTCCCATTAAACAGCATACGTTTGTTAAAAATATGTTTTTGCCTAAAAATCCGGACTCTATATTATATTAACCATCTAATGTTATTTTTATTTAACTTTAATAGCGTATATTGTATTTAAACAATAAATAAATTATTACAATAATTAATACACATATATTACATTCTGTGTGGAGTTACGGTGTTAAAAAAAAAACTTATTCGCGGAATTAGGGTGTTAAAAAAACCCATTGTATACGGAGTTAAGGTGATATATTATTATAAAATGGTCACGATGCTTGCGTAGTCGCCAGTTACGGTGCACAGGAAAAATCCGAATTATATGATATAGACATGATAAATTTACGACATTTTATCTAACCAATAACACAATAAAAGTGTTTTACAAGGAAAAAAATAAATCTTCCTTATATTCAGAATTTTTAACGCTAAATAAAAGTCGTTTTTTTTTTCGATTTTATTCAGCCTCTCTCCTTTATCTACAGTTTCTAGACCCGTCTATATTATTGGCCAAAACGAATACGTGAATAATACGCGATGCGCTATGACCAATGCGCGAAGACACGAGAAGAACGTTTGGTATTCAACGTTTTTTTTTTTTTTTTTATTGTCACTATATTTACTGCGAGAACACAATCGGACAAACCGAAAATTTAGCTGAAAATTTTAACGAGTTTTATAGAAAAATTATTAAATTTAATGGTTTTATTGTTTTTTAAATGTTCGATAACGATTTCCCAATTATAACGCGCATTAGCGCTAGTTATAATTACGATACCTTGTATACATAAATATTATTGTCAATCTAACGATTCCACTATAACCGTACATAAAATCGTACGAACCAATGCGTTTAAGCGTTGTAAACAGTGCAGTGATTAAGAGTACCTACGGTTACAATATAATATATTATGTTCCAGTTTGGTAGACGGTCACTGGATCGCCATTACAAATTAAAACTAAATTTGTAAAATTGTTTACTTAAATATTCGATAACACTATTGTAATCGAGGAATAAATACATATATATATATATATATATATATATAATTGAAAAATTGAATCATACATTTTTTTTCTCACGTTTTTCATATTTAATATTATTATTACTTATATTATATACTAATCACTAATGATAACAATGATGGTGAACATAATAGAATCCGATGATGTCATGATGGTCATCATTAAGTTCAGTAATTCGGAATGATAATTTCTGTCCGATCAAATACGATTAATCTGATTATTCATCAGATTGCTTTTCGATGCCTCTGACGATCAATTTACGAATTGGACGGTGCGTTAGAGTGCTAGACGATGAAAATGTGTTATCATAATTATACGGTGTTGACACCGTTTATAGCCATATCGTTTTTTTTACGTTACATTCAATGCTCATGTTTATTGGTTAATTATTTTATTTCAATAGTAATAACAACAAACAATTTTTTAAAATATTTACGTTATTGTTGTTTTTCACTTATAATTGTAATAAGTTCACCACAAAATTACGCGAAAAATCACCCATATTGAATATGATAATTTAAAATTCGCACTAAAAACACGTAGGTTTTCATTTGAAAGATCAAAGTTGGTATTGCCACAGGATACTCATAAAATTTTGTGAAAATTCGAAATATTCGAAAATATCGTCAAAAATCAAACCTTTAATATATGCATAACTGAACCATACAAGTTGGGTGAACGTATTTAAAAACACTCTGTGTACTATGATATAATCTCTAATTCGGGGAAAAATACGATAAAAAAAAAAAATAATAAATAGTTTGTACACGTTTAGTTATAATCTACGGCTTAGCCTTAATTATGTTGCACTGTATCGTCTGATCGATTGTATCAATTTCCCGAGCATATAGGTGTTTTAAAATCACCCGCAAACAAAATAAACACAATAGGTATCGTAAAAATAATTTTTTACATTTTTTTATCCAATATTCTGTACCCATATAATATTATATTAATAGATAAGAAGTATAATAATATTGACTGTACTATAGTCGTTACACCCGACGGACCTATTATGGGAAAAACCTTTCGAACTTACGAGAACGAGAATATTATTAATCTTTGTATATACCTATTATCGTGATTACCAAGGTTTCGCTAACTTCACGTCTTTTACACGTGTCATCACCATCCGTCTCACAACGCGTCGAAACCACGAATCGCTGCGAACATCGCGTCGTAAATCATACGAGGAAGTGACTTTGGAGAGTATTATAATCAAATAAAAAATAAAAAATGTTTACAAATCCAACAAGATAATAATATATATCTAGGTAGTTAATATTGTTCGAGGGCAACTCGTATAATAATATTCGTTTGTGTACTAATACGTATAATATTATAGTTTTTATTGGATGCCTATATATACATACCGGAAAGAGGTTCTTGTCGATATGTTTTTAACAAATTAGAATTATTAAAATGTATTGTTATACTTGAAAACCGTGATTTTTGAGTTGATCTCTGCAGAAAAAAAAACATGATTTGTGCTTTTAATATTGTTCCAAGGCGATTTACTATAGATTTGTACTGACATTGTATCAAACAAATATAACAGCATAATCTTTAGTCTCAAAAAACCGATAATTCGGTATATTTCGACGAGTTTTTTCTTTCGATCAAATCAATTTTAAAGTTCGTAATTCTAGCAAGATGGTTATTTGATAATATAGTTTTTAATCGGAGCTAATCGAAAACTTGAAAAAAAAAAGAACCACATGATAAGAAATAAAACCAATAACACACCATTCTTCGCTCAGGTAAGAATCAATGGTTGATCAAAGACCTCCCTAGGACACAAAAAATATAATTGTAACAATCACGGTTTTTGGGAGGGATAAGCCCTTAGGCCTTAAAGAACTTTCCGGTCGGGCCTATACATTAATTGAACATAATTTTGATAACTTATTAGTTATTGGCGCTAAAGATGTCTGACATCTTCTAGTCAAGTGGAAAAAAAATCCTCTAATAAAAATCTATCATTTCATTTTTTTTTTCGACAATACCACATCATTTCTGATTCTGTGACCTTCGATCTATAGAATAAGTCGATTTTATTTCATAACTTTTACTCGTAAATATTTAAAAATATCTCGTTATTATACATTATATTATTATTTAGTATGTAGTCATTTTGGAAAAGATTGTTCGTAGTCTTTTTTGTAGGAGTTATACTAATGTTTTTTCTGGAGTTATTTACTAATGATGGTCTCGTATAGCAGCGGTTTACACGTCAGATAATATTTTTGATAGGTTATTATATTGTAGGATTTAATCATTCACCTATCCTCCCCTCCAGCAGGCCACTGTTATTATGACTATTAACGGCCGTCTCACGGTAAAGGTATGTGCTACCTCTGCCGGAGACTTCAACGCACCGCGCACCGAATTATAATAATAGGTATTTTTATATTTTACTACGAAATATAACTGTTTTACCAATATAGGCGGAAACGAGTTTGTCTTTTAATATTATAAAATTTGTTTTATTTAAATGTTTTTTTCAAAGGAATATACGTATGAATATACATAATTAATATAATATTATGTCAGTTTAAAGTCTTTGTGTTGCTCGCGACGGCAGCGGTATATACATTATGGTATAATACGGGGGGGGGAGGCGTAATGCGTAATACGACTGAGCACATTATATATTTTTTACCTATAAAAAAACACAACACTATTATACGCACTTTTACCTTTTTAGAAAGGTGTATCTGCAAAAACAATTATACCGGCTGGTTCCCTTTTTCGGTATCGTTTGAATTTCATGATGTCTAATATATTGTATTTATTATTTGGCCTAGTGAATAAATAATTTTCATATTTTTTTTTTAATTCCTACGATAACTCAACATTTTCTTGCTTTTTTGGAATCGCGTCATTTTTGTGCTCATTTAACAGCATATTTAACACTTTGATTACATCATTGTCAACGAGTTAACTGGCTGACCTGCAATAATAATTAAAAATTGTTTTTGTTTGTGTTGTAGCGATATCAAATACTACCACACTATTTCAGAATTTAACATTTTCAGTTTGAAATTATTTTTTTGTGTTGGTGTCTTCATAAAAAAAAAAAAAAAACTTACAGTAATATTCACAGCTTTAGCGTTTTGAATGTGAGATGTGATTGCCACAATATATGATAGTTATAAAGAACTATCAATAAAACCTGGTGAAATAAATATTATATTATCTAATACGCTTAAATTTTAACTCGTGTACATAAAATGTTGGAAAACACCGCGGTCACCAAACTTAACCTTTATCATTTCGCCCAAATACATTTTAAAATTAAGTTGGAAATGGTTTTTAAATAATAGTTGGGACACACGAAAAATATTTAAAAATGTATATCGCAATTTTCTATGCGTTTCAACCATTATTCAAAAACGAATCATCTTAATTTTAAATTACTAAAATGCGTTTAGGCGAAACGGTGCGAAAAAGTATCCCTTAGAGTACAGGCCTACATAGTAATTGTATATAAGTAAGAAGTGGTACCTACTATATACTATGCCATGTGCATTTTTTAAACTATAATAGTTTATAATCATTGCACTTGTTTTCTTAAATATTATACGGTAAAAAGGCGTGGCCCATTGTTCCGGCCATCCATTAGTCATAATAATATTTTTAATAAAATATCGGTGCGTTATAATTATTGCAATAACGTACATTAATATGTATAATACACGCGGTGTAATAATTAGTCATCGCACCGCCACCGAGTCGGTGCAGTCGCAGAGCAACAGCCGCCACGGTCACGGTTACAGTCGAGTCATCATCGTCATTGCTGCCATTACATTGCACCGACGGTGGTGAACTTAAATATTATAAAAATAATATCAAAAACTGACCTTAATTTATTAAAAGTCAAATTACGAGTTACATTTTTCGATAATTTATTTCACTGTATAAGAGTTATAAAAAAAAAAAATCTCAATGTTTTATTCAATAATTTCTTTTATTTCTTTCAATATCAATATTATTTTAATATTTATTCAATTCGTTTAAATTTCGGTAAAATGTTATTTCTATAAAGTTATTTATGATATTTTTTTTGCTATGAAAAGACTGCATACATATTTATCTACATAATTGGGTATGTTTTTTGCGTTTATGTAACGTAAATACCATCGTCACGCATACAAAATATGGCCTATAACGGTATAATGAGAATAACTTTTTAAGTTTAACTTTTAACTTTAGTTAATATTTTTTTGAATATTTTTAATATTTAAAATTGATTTTAACTATGAGGTTAGTTATTTTTATTCAATTTTGTATTGTTCTATGATATCTCATGACACTAAACCAAGTAAAAATAAAATTTGTCTGGCACTGCCGCAATATTGGAATATATACCTGTATGCGTATAGTTGTACTTGGTTCGGGTGATCTTTATAGGAGGAAGGGGGTTGCAAATTATACCTAAAAAGCGTTTAAAAAAGGGGGAGGGATGAAAGATAAATTAATTGTTAGTTACTATTATGTTGTAATCCATGTATAGATCTACGTGGTAGCGTATTTAACAAGGATGATAATAATATAGATATGCGTATAAAACGGTTTTCATAATAATTGGAAAAAACTGGGTTTATTTACATCATATACAAAATAGAAAATTCGCTCCGAGTTGTTTTTCGTTAGCAATAGTTTATCATTGCGTTTAGATATAAATTAGTTTCCCTTTTACATCCTATATGCCTAACTTCTCACCTGTAACAGTGGCCCACCCATCGTGCGAAGTATGTTCGTTTATTTTTCATTTAATTTTTACAAGTATTTTAAGAACGAATGGGAACTATATAAATATCTTCATTCTTCGGAACGTGTATAATAGTTGCTCTACAAAAATTAAACCAATGATAACGTTTAAAACGTTTCAGACAAGTGTTTAAACGATTTATCGCAAGTCTGGATCATAATAATATGGCCGATTGTTAATTTTTTTCGCGTAAACAATTGCGTCTCGGGTGTTATTCAGATACATGAAAATCGCGTCTGTTAAATACAATACAATTAATGTTTATGTTTATAACCACAGAAGTACGAGCATCATGAACATTTATCTTTTTATCAATACGAAAAACAATCTCTAAACGTTTAACATCGCCGGTTTTCAGTTCGTTATGCAAAATTGTTAGACGGTCTATCAAACAATGTATTACTCGTATAATAATAATAATAATAATATGACGTATATATGGTCGACTACTTTTCGTTTCGTGACTGTGTTCGTTATAACTTGCAAGTTTCAACTTATTATCTTTATACATTTCGCAAAACACTCGCGGTACGTCTCCAAGGTTCAGATTCATTTTTTTTTTTTCAAAATTTATGAAAACTAAATCTGTAGCCGCCGAACAGTTATTATTTTAAGGTTTTTGTAAGGTATTTGCTTATTTTATTTTTTTTCACTATTTTGCGTTGCGTTCGTTTTGATACGGGCGCGTTCGATAAAAAAAAAACGGCACCGGCGAACTATATAAAAACCTTAACTATTAGAATTGTGTGGTATTTGCAGCTCGTTTATCGAATAAAAAATATGTGTATTTTTTTCGGACTTTGCACGTAAATAACACCTGAGACATCGCAATATAATGTCGCGGACTCGGTTTCATCGTCTCCCGACAATATTGCCGTTCGTCCATTCCGTTCTCCGCGACCCGATGACGACGACGCGACAGCGAGGAATAAAACATTAGTGTATTGTTCGAAATTACAATCTCGAACAAATACATTATTATTGTCGTTATTGTGCTAATATTTATTATAATTTCGGTCTTTTATTCGTCGACACGGCGAAATTATAATAATATTTAACGATAATACGTACGTCGCGTGAAATGTGCGCCGGCATTTTAATATCGCAACGACGGCGTTATTGTTAAGGCCGCGGTCACACGTCAAACAATTAAATATAATAACTACTACAAGCCAGTATGCATTAGGGGTTCAACCCCCCGTCTCCGAAAATTTTAAAATATATATATATATTTATAACAAAGACTAACTGCAAGTTCATGTATTCAAAATATTTTAACCCGCCCAGAAAAAAGAAAAATTGATCCTGAATTCGTGCTTGAATTGCTATCGCGAAAGTAAGACCGCTTTCGTTATTGTTGTGTGTTCGAACCGTGATTGCAGACGCGATATCACGCGCGTGATAATGATACCTATAGTAGGCGTATAACATCATAGCGTTAAAGTATTATTATTAAAAAATATTACCCGAACCGGTTGAGTTAGCCATTATTCGAGTGAATATAGTGACTATGTTATTATGCGTGTTGGCCAACACGATTTATAAATCGATTAAAAATTCGGCTGTCCAAACGATTTTAGCGCTTGCTTTCCGCTACCGCGATTGTGCCGTATTTGTGATCGCAATGGGTCTAAAACTGTCATGCAGGTATGTTCGCGACAGCGTGATACACGGAACATTGCAGTCCACACAGCGATCGTTTAGTAAAAGCGATCACGGTAACGGCTATTATGACGGCAACTATTATCGCGTTCAACTAGTATCGTGTGACCGCGGCTTTATACGCTGCTGCGTGCATCAGGCGGAAAAAAAATTGTTCGTTCGCGTCGTACGCGCGAGCGCAAATTCCTGCGGATAATGCGGCGGCAGAAACGCGACGAATGACGACGGCGACGACGCGACCGGGGGCGCTCAAAAGCTGTCGGCAACCGCAACGATGTCGGCGGCGATTATTTTTATTTGTTTGCCGTTATATTGTTGACGGGAACGACGACGCGCACGCCGGTGTCCGCGCACGACGAAAACGGCAACATATAAAAATCGAACAAATAGACGACACAGTAAAAATGAAGAACGCCGGTGAACGGTTCCGGCACACCACAGCCGCCGCCGGTGCGGAAAGTGACGACACGGACGCGGCGGAGAACGTGGTGTTGTCCGAATTTTGTCTGCCGTGGCCGCCCCCCGTCCGGGCCGAGCAAAACCGGCACCGTCGGCGTGCCCGGGACGACGACGCGGCCGTCCGGAGGAGAACGGTCAGAACGGACGCGGCGTGCCGCGGGCCGGGGAGTCGCTCGTCGTCACCAGATCGCCATCGCCGTCGGCTGCGGTCCGGCGCGAAAACCGCTTTTTTCGTCTTTCTCGTGGCGATGGCCACGGCGGAGCGCAGATTCCGGGTGACCGCGACGAACGCCAAACGGGATCCCAGTAAGCTTGTTACATACTTTTGAATTTCCAATAGGAACCTCCTCTCTCCCCTTTTGAACACGGGTTTAAATAGACAACGTTTTTCTTTTTTAAAGTTTAGATCGGACCAGTAGGGAAGGGTAATAAATCGCCTAACTACGACCCTTATCTACTCCTCCGGTTTAAACTTTAAACTGTCATAACTCATAAACGGTAAATCTGATATTAGTTTGATGCATATCAACATTTCTAGAAAAATATTCTCCATTCAAATCAATGTTCAAAAGGTTCCTATTAAAAAGTCAAAAGTATGCACTTTTAAGGTACATGGAGTAGGGATAAAACATTAAAAATGGTTTTAAAATAAAGCTTAAACGATTCTATAGTGATTAAAAAACCAGAAATAAAATTCACATAAAATCCTTTGAGATAATTGCTGGTTCGTGATAAAAATAAAAAACATTTGGAGCAAAATCACGGGGGCGGAAATCGCGGTCTTGGATACTATATTTTAAATTTTTTTTGTGATTTACGTATAACGTATATACGTTACGTTCGTATTCAAAGCAGCCGATAATATTAAATTATAGTGCGATCGTATTCGTGTTTGCTACCGAACAACAACAAAAAAAAAAAAAAAAATAGTAATAAAGAGCTGATACGGGGAATGGGCGAGGCTATTGTTATATAGGTGTGTAGTCTAGAAGGTGGGACACATAAAGTTAGTTAATTTATACTTGTAACCAACGATAAACCGTTACTAACGAAAAACGATTCGGAGCGAAGTTCGGTTATACATGTTTTAAATTAATTTCTTACTTACCGACTAAATTAAAAATTGAAATAAAAAATCTTTTTAAGTTTTTAAATTTGAGCAATATTTATAATAGAAAACACAAGCCGTACAAATTTTGAATTACAAAGCCATAAAAAATTGTATTTTTCGTCCTTTTTTGTTTTTCTCGATTATTATAAAAATACTTTTGATATAAAAAAAACGACTTTTCGACCGTATCTATAATATATTAATAGAAACAAAATCGATGTCTTATCATTTTTCGATTGGAGTAATATTTCCGGGTAGAAAGCATAATTCGAAAAAATTACAAAAAAAACAATGAAATCGGAATGCCGTGGTAAATATTTGCCGCTTCACCTATAATTTTCTTTTGGTTTTTTTTCGATTATTTCGGAAAATCAAAAAACGACCTCTCGAATGTACCTACTAGACAAAATATTCTCCCAAAATAGCTAATATATACCCTGTACATATCCGAGCAAGATTTCTTTTCAAAAAGTTATTTACAGACAGAAAAAAACAAAAAGAAAAACACACATAATATAGAATAGAAAACCAAAAGATCCCCGGCTACGATCCGAATCTAAAATATCTAAATAATATAAAATAATAATATAATATTAGATTTAGAGTTTAGCGAAGAATGTATTGGTTTTACAAAGTTGTTTATTTTTTTTTTATGTGAACACTTTCTACTGGAAAACTTACTCCGATTATCAAATATAACGCCTCTTCTGAAAAGAAATATTCTCTGGATGATACTTTAGAACGGTCATTTTTGTAATTCTCATTAATATCCGAGATAATGTGGAAAACCTGATTCTTAAGGTTAAAAAAGATTGAAAGATTAAAAATAAGATTGTCATTGGCAACCGTTTTTATTTATTTATAGTTATTATTAAGGTATTATTATTTTTATATTTTCTAAACAATCATTGTTGTCATGGAAACGCACATTGTTGTAATCATTTAACATAGCATATATTGTCGACAAAGCAACACTATACCAACTGAACTCAGTTCACGCTCAGAATCGTGTTTTCGTTAGCAATGGTTTTTCGTTGCTTACGGGTATACATATAAAACTCTCGTCCTACCTTCCCAACTTCCCACCTAAAACAGTGGCTGCACCCACGTGCAAAATATGTCCGTCGTTTTTATAATTTTTTTTTTTTTTTTTGCTATTTCGTATAAAATATTCGCACGGGTGTCCACTATTATTGATTTTCAATAAAATTTACAATATTATTGTCGTCGGTCGCATTACGAAACTGATTGTCCACGCCGCAGCAGCGCCGTGACGGCGCGCGCTCGCCAATACGACGCGGACAGGTACGCGATATAATAATAATATTGTTGTTATTGTTGTGGCCGCCCGACGCGGCGTCCGTGACGTCTGGCGTACGGCGCGGCGGCGTCCATCTGTACGGCGCGCGCCCAAATAACGGCGCAGCGATTTAATTGGCGTACGGCGCGCGACACGGTTCGGCGGCCGCGTCCTTGGAGCGCGTGCCACCGTTCCGACGTTTTTAAATTTGTTTTTTTTCCGGACGAGGGCATTTACGTTAATTTTTTCGTCCGCGTGCTCCGGTTTCACGTCTCCCGTGCACATTTCCGCACTGCTCGAGACGACAATGCATTTTTGTCTTAACTCTCACTCCACCCCCCTCTCCCTTCTTTAATTACTCGTAATTTACCGAACGAAATAATCGATAAAACTGCAGTAAAGACAGCGGCCTTTAGTTTTACCGCGGTGGCGCGAATAGTAAAGTTGAATATTTGACGATTACAAACAACTTCGGTATTTTTCGTCAAACTGTATTACCAATATTATCGGTCAATTTAGTATAGTTTTCAATACAAACCAATTCGGTATTGTAAAAACTACTAAATAGCATAATGGTATAATATTGCTGAATAACTAAATAATTAATATTACACTATAAAATATGAATTGCGCTTTTTTTGCCAAACTATGGTGAGATATTTTAATTATCTGTACGTAACGTGTATATTCTCCTTCGCCTTTATCCCAATTATCCGGGGTCGACCACCTTAGTCCTAAACACGGTCTCACTTAACACGATCTCTCACCTCGCATACACCGGTTCGTGGCTGTTCTCATATTCTTGATCGCATGTAGCCACCTTTTTTTGCGATCTTCTTCTCCCCCCCTCCCCGATTTTTTCTTACGTTTATTTTCATTACAACTGCAGTACTGCTTCTCATTTCTCTCTCCTCACGACCAAGCTACCCTTATATACACTCATTCCTTATCCAATCTTCTATTTCGTCACTCAATTCATCCACTTAAGCGTTCTCCATTTTGTTTGTCTGTCTACTGATTAACACTCTGAATCATGATCACTACGCTTGTGTAGAACTTACCTTTAAATTCAATAGTCTATTGTCATATAAAACACCCGACACTACTCTCCAATTTACCTAACCCACATACAATCGTGTATTGTTTCACATTCTCATCGAAATCACCGATCTTTTAGGTACAAAAGATCTTAGGTACCTTCCAAAAACTCTCAATCTGATCTATTACGTCACCACAGGAAGAACGGTATTGTCAACGGGTATTAGATCCGTATCATTATAATGCCCCCCTACATTTTTATATTTTTACAATTTCTATAATATTTTTACTGTAACAGTTAAAATCATTTTTAATTAGATTAATATTTTAATAAACCGCTTGTTTGTATTCAATTTTGTTATGAATTTGAAAAAAACTTTATTAATTAAATAAATTATTCTTTTTTTTTTTACGAATCGATTGCAATTAATAATTTCGATTTTGTTGAATCATAAAATTTGAAAATCATTTTAAATCAGGAAAATCATTACAGGAATATTTTTTTATCATCATAATAATTGTTTTTGATGGTATTTATTAGGAAGCGTTTATTTTCGTTCTTCCACAACGCATTTGTGATACAAAATATTCGTTCTATTGCTACAGTAGTTTCAGGCACGATTAGAGAATAATATTCTACAATGTGCCTGTAAAGTTACGAATGTTAAGTTTTTTTTCAAAATTAAAACTCGTACAATTTCCAATTTTGTAACACATGCACATGCACATGCACAGACGAACGTTTCAAATGTTTGAATCGACCAATACCAGAATCGAAACGGTTGCGAAACGGATTCCCGAATGCCGATATTCCACCAGGCACGTACAAGCTTCAGCTTTTTAATTGTGTAGGGGCGGAATGGGTAAGGCGGATAAGGCGGGTCGTGAGAATGTTGCGGTATACGATCATAAGTCTGAGGATCGTCGCTTCGTCCGGGTTTCCGATCGCGAGACGGCGGAGACGAAACGATGGTTTGATGGCGGCGGCGGTTGTGACGTTGACCTAACGGTACTCGTACCTACTACGATAATAATGATAATAATATAATACCGCCGACTAATCTACGAGAGTGTGTAATATTATTATTATTATTATTATTATTATTATTATTACCGTACGAGACCATATACGCGAATAGAATATAATGCACCGCCGAAGACGATTCACACGGTCTGCAGGCCGCCGCCACCGGGTCAAACCGCACACACTCGTTCGAACAAAACGGTAAAAAACAATAATATCGGCGTCGTCGCGTATGTGCCCAGCTATATGTAGGTTAGTAATATTAATGTACTGTTGTCCGCGTCGGCGTGTATAATTTATTATATACTTACTACGGCGGTAAACTCGGAAGTTATAGGTATCTTCGGTCCCAGGATGAAAACTAAAACAAAATTGACTTAGGCCCTTCCCCGGGACCAAAGCTTTAGTAATGCTATCGGACTAGTGAAAACGGAACTCCGAGAGACCGAATACAAAATATTTCCGTTGTCGTTTTACATAAGTTTTGAATACGCGTGAAATATTATCGATTTCGTGGTAGTTTTAAACTTTCGTATATTTGCACAGCGTTTCCGTTTCGTTAAGCATAATGTGTCCGTAACATTGGAAATATTTTACTGTATTTACAGACGACTATTATAGTCGTCTATTCTCTATTATAATAATAGTGAGTATATGGTTATACTATACCGCACTCGGTCGATATCGGTGATGATATAGGCCACGGGAGTTGGTCAAACGCAGTTAGGGGCCTGCCGGAAGTGTCGAACCCGTGACGCGTAGGTAGACGCAATAATAACTCATATCTTCCGAACACCTTCGTCACGCTTTTTTTTTTCTTTTCGACGGAAATGGAAACTACGCACAAAATGGGTAAGTCAGGCGGCCACACGTGACGTTTGTTATAGTACCCGGCCGAGTTACTAGACCGTACAATTTACACTACAGAGATAGTACACGAGTATAGCGACTTGTATAGATATATTATACCGGGCTATATCTACCTAGCTATTGCGTATAGAGTTGTCAATTAGTATTGTACAACGTATTATTGAAGCGATTTTACTGTAAATACACATCGTATACAATACCGGCTGGTAAATTTCAAAATAATTGATTTATACTTACTAATATGTGTTTAGTTAATTTTATGTACTTACCTACTCGACAGTCTTTTTCTTCATAGCCATCATTAGTATACTTTTTAGAGTTTCGACCGTTATAACATCTCGAACAATCGTCTCGCTTTATAGTTACCGGGACTACCGAAGTGCTACCGAAGTCTTGGGTACCTTAAACAATTTTTCGTATAGTTAACGGAAACTATTTGTAGGCAATTTAGAACGTGAGTTCTTCTAAATCCGCGTTCGCGATTACAAATAACGTTATACGATAATATTTAATACATATTATTGTACCATCATTGTTGTACATCATTGTCGAGGTGACGGTCAATCGATGACCGCCGTCGCCGGACGACGAGAAGAATATTATACTCTTTTTTCCCTTCTTATTGTTCGCCACGATTTCGTAATAATTTCTACAAAAAAGATTATAATAATATGTAATGCGGTCGCGGGAGCACGCGCCGAGATAACAACAATGGACGGCCAGCCGCTGTTATTACCGAATTTTTATTTTTTTTTTTTTTATTATTATTATCACTGTCCGATTTGATTTTATGTTTACAAAATAAAATTTCGTAATAAAAAACGTCATGCCACCGAAGTCGTCTTCGTATCATATCGGTCACGGACGCGGAGATGCGGTCAAACAATATTCGACCGAATAATTTGTATTACCTACGCGATTATTATATTAGTACATTGTTTTGTACACGAGAATTATCTGCTGTCAGACTATCAATGTCTAAAACAGGTGATCCATTTCAGTGGGTACACTCATTATCTCGGAAAATATTAACTTTTTTCGGAATTTTTTCGCTAGAACATTTGCAAGAAATAAGTTGCTCTACAATTATATATTCATATTATTTTTTTTTACCCTTATTTTTTGTGGTAAAACCACTACCTACTTTTGATTTTCAAATAGCAACCTATATTAAGAAGTCCATAAATAGATGAAGTATTAGTTAAAATAAATTTTAGTATAATCGATTTTGACATTTTTGATTTCCGTCGAACCCGTTGATGAGATATTCCACTTTTAAGTTTTGGTTGATGGAGAATAGTGGTGTATTGTTAACACGCCGTGCGCCGTATCGCCACACAAATAATACTCCCGAAAATAGGTTTTAAGTGAAACAGGTGGTTTTACCCCCAAAAATAAGGGTGAAAAAATATAAGATATATATAAAATTGTAGAGCAGCTTGTTTCTTAAATGTTCTAGAAAACAAAATCCTGAAAAAGTATATACTTTCCGACATAACGAATGTACCCACTTAATAAATGGATCAGCCGGTAATCGATATACGTAAGACGAGTTATTGAACGAGAATTACCGAATACTTGTAATATTATAACGCGTATGATAATAATGACGTTTACTCATATGATAATTTTACTATGTACGGGGTGAATTTTTTTGTTCTTATCGCGAATGGTAGCACGGTTCGTGAGTATTGAAAACAGAACGAAAATATTGAAAAACTACGAACTGTCATTATTTTTCATTTTAATAATATAAAACAAAGTCACTACTCGCCTCTATCTGTGCGCTTTTAGTTCGTCTAAACTACGCAATGGATTTTGATATAGTTTTCACTATTATTTAGAGGATTTCTTCCGGAAGGTTTATTGTACATATACATATATAGAAAATATAGAAAAGTCAATGTTTCGTAATCAAGTCGTAAAAATAAAATAAACGGACGATGGAAAACGTTAAAAAAGGTCATAATGAACAATGATGACAACCGTACACTTCCGTTTCTGCAATCGACCTCGTGCAGTCTGTCACTCGGCGATGACCTTTGGCACACCGAAAAATCGCGATAAACGTGGTTATATTGTTTTTCAGAAGCAATGATGCAATATTTGTTACGTATCAAAGACAAACGACACCGCGAAAAGATCGTGATATTAATATTACTGTTAGGCAGTATAGCGTAGTCAAATTTATTATTCTACTTGGGTACGCTTGATTAGAAAAAAAAAAAAAACAGAATGGCATCGCCGTGTACGAAATTTTGTTGTGAAGAAGGACATAAAGTTACATTTATATATATATATATATGTGTGTATGCAATACTATATGAGTTTCCCGATGTCCTCGGAAGATATTATTGGGTATTATAAAGAGGTATACGTGCACTACACTCGATTTTTGAATTTATACACTACATAGCTGATATCGCGTAATTGGTAATGGTTATAATACGTACGTTTGTAAATTATTATAATAATAGATCGGTATAGGTACTTATAAATAATAACGTTGATGATGCCGTGCGATGACGACGACGATGATGATAATAATAATTATGTACGGCTCGCGAGTGTGTTTTGCCGTTTTCGGACAACGAGATGATAACGGCCGTCGAGTGTATAGAATTATAGAGAATGTTTAAATCTCAATGGCGAATCGTAATTATTATAATATTATCATCGTCATTATCGGTTGTCGCCGTCGACGCTACGCGGTTTGTCGAAATAATAGCGTTTTCCATCTGACTGCGTTCGTGTGCAACGGGTGTGCTATTATCGCCAGCTATAACCAGTGCAGTAACTAGTAACAGAAATTTCATAATGCGGCGGGCGTAGTGTATTCTTATCCCCACGAGCGCAAAATAAAAAAAAGAAAACACAGACACCGTCGATTTTGTACGCGTAGGACTGCAGGCACTAGGCCAAGGGTCGGCTCCGGAGCCACATACGGCTCCTTAACACGCAATCTGTGGCTATTTGGAAAATGTATCGAAATTCAAAACGTATTATTATGTTTTTAATGCCCATACCGATTCCCAATGAAATTGCTTAGTAAAATATATTAGTCGTTTATTTTTTACTATATGTTACGTGTTTAACACAACCATAATGCGGCTCTGTGAAAATCATGGTTTTGCAAAAGTTTTTTTTTAAAATGGCTCATTTACATGGGGGAAAAGCTTCCCGCCCGCTGCACTAGGCAGACGTATTTACATTTTCGGCGCTCTAGAGCACTGTTTCTTAAGCGACCATTTATGCAATGACAACATTTTTCACGACACGCGGGAATTTCGAGTAGCACACTTTATATTTTGTACTACTCACTCTGTATTTTAGAACACACAATTTAAGGTTCCGCCGGACGAGTGTAAACCGTGAGATGGAGTTCATACATAAAAAAAGTTCTTGTATTCCAATTCAAATTTATATATTTAAGTAAATTATCTGTTGTAGATCTTAATAAATACGACGTCAATTTTTGCATGATAATAATTACTATTTTCCGATGTCTCCAAAGACTATGACACCCCCTTAAAGTGTGGCGCCTAGGGAAAATATCCCCTCCTCATTTCTCCTTGTATACATCTCTGAGTGTAGAATGTATAACATAATATATATATATAACATAATAAGTTGTATTATGTAGACTGTACAGTATAATCAGTGCTTTAACTTGATCATTGTTACCGCATTAACGGATTATACTACGATAATATTATTTGTGTCCCAATTTATATTAGAAAACCTACCAACTACCATCCGGGTATACTGAAGAGTATGGTATCATTGACCGCGTGTAGTGTACACGAGTGTTGTTAGATGGAAAACTGACACGAGTCGATGTATTATTATTTTGCCATACTCTGCTATTCTTTGTTGTTTTGCTTTTACAGTCAACAAGGAAATACTATTGACGAGTTAATATATACCATTCTTATATATATATATATAGTTTTTTTCGTAACAGTTTATTGCACGTCTGCGTGTATAATACTTGTTTAAATAATTATTATTATCAGTGAATGTTCAAAATTGTATACACAAAAAGGAATTCAAATTAACTTATTTAACGGCTATACCTGTATTAAACATCTGGTTGTATATGACGGTAGTTCATTTTCGATATAACAAGAATAGCGATTCAAACATTTTATGTTCATGTAGTTAGAATAATATTATGTTTGAAATAGCTATTTTTCACGTTTTTTCTTCCACTTGGATATTTTAGATAGACAATTTTTTTGTGTGTTATTTTTTTCTAATATCCGTCGTGACTGTTGAAAAGAGGTTATGAATCCGCGTTAATTGCACGGTATATCATTATTATTATCCTAGTGCGTTCCGCGTAGGTAATTTTTTTTTTTTTTGAATGTAGCACGAAGAATCCCCAATCGTATTAATTTTCTTTTTTACCTATACATGAAAACTTTCTTTTAAAATGATATAGTTAAACATTCGAAAATGGCCAATTATTTTCGTTAAAATAAAAACTGATGAGATTTGCATTAGGTATGTATCAGCTATTTTTGTTATTTTGAGTAATCAAAAATGCAGGGAAAAAATTTTCAATTAAAAAACATCACGAATTGAAATAACATTTTTTTTTTCTTCCACAATAATAATCTTGTTGCAAGATATTGCAGATCACCTAAAGATAGACAAAATTCTGGGACCTATGGTTATAAACCTATTATTATAGTTAAAATATTTAGAACAGATTTTTCACCTATTTTTCTGTTCCTTTAGCTGCACATGATTAAAGTAATTCATATTTGGATCATCGTACCCCCCCTACCCTGTTATTAACTCAAAAAAAAGAAAACATTTTTATTTTCATTCAGTTTTTGCATTGTTTTTCTACATGACAAGAACGTATTTGTACAATTTCAGTATCACATTTTGACAAAAATCTTAAAGATCACGGTGTTTCAAAACATTTTAAACCGAATTTTGCCCATAATTTTCATAAATGGGAAGTTAATTTTTGACCCGTAGAAAATTTGTTCGTAACTTAAATGTTCTTCTTTTAAATTCGCTTTTAAGACCGAAAATTTAAGATACATTTCAAAATACGTCTTTGAACCAACCATAACCTAATCTAACCGATGGTCACGCGCTTCAGGAGTTTCTTTCAATCGGCGACTAGTTACTTTAATCCAAAAATAAAACCGTAAATCTCGAGTCACATGAGGTGAAATGCCCTAATGGTGGAATTTCAATACAATTTATTTTGATTTCAATACCCTACAGATTATAATTTGTTTTCTCTTTAGGTTCATTCCTTCGGTTTTTCCATATACACTATCATTAAATATTTCAGCAAAGTGCATTATCCATAATTTATTGTGTTATGCATTTCTCAAAATACACACACATTCACGCGTAAAGTCAACTGCACATTTTATGCTTCTTACTGCACAATTACCTATTTAGTATTTATTATATTATAGTGTTCCTTACAACATAGCCTGTTGTACGATATATTGTTAATATGCTGTCGCAATAATATTATCGAAAAACACGATACACAATCGTCGCCCGTCTCTTGTAAATAATATTGTAAATCGTAATATCACGCGCGATTAACGTGCCCCGTAATGGCTATTTCAGTATCGTCTGTCACATTTAAATGTATTCATAATATACTTGTACATTTCTCCGGACAAATTCCCCCACCTCTCACCCCCCCCCGGGTAAATCGGACGGTTTACGTAGCAGTAACAGCTATAGCGGGTCGAGTAGCGGGTATAATAATTATTAAATTCTCGACACATACGCGTAGTGTTATTATAACGTCATTGCTTAGTGATGACTAGTCAGAGTGGAGAACAATAATAATATTCGGAAATGACTCAACGGCACGTTACAAAATAATATCAGAATAGTAATAATAATAATAATAATAAAATTAGAAATAACGCTTACCTGTTACGATCATCGCCTTCAGACGGCGGAATAATATTATATTTTTTGAATATAGTCGCCCTCCCCCGAAGGACCTACCCTAACAATCCCATACATTGTCCAAAAATGTATTTTAACGTGTGTGAAGTTATATTATTATTGAAACGAGACGTTTTGCGTAAAAATACGTACGATAACATACAATAGTCTCCGCGATAGTCGTAATTGAATTATACCTATTAGAATATTGATAGTATTGATCAAACACAAAGATGTGCTTTATCTCCAAAAAAAAAAAAAGATACTTTTACGATCAGTAAAAATTATTTGATTTTTTCCCCATCATTCATTGAATGATGAACATTTTTCACTTGATAGTACCGTAATATTTGAAACATTTTTCGAGATTTCCAATACCTTTACCAAAAAATTACTTTTTATATTTTTAACTAAAATTTTTTGGTTCGATATTACTTTGTTCATCCTACTTTCCCGATTCCAACAACCCACCTAAAACCATAACCTACCCGTGAGTAAAATCAATTGTTTTTTTAATTTTATATACACCTCAAATTGCTGATAATTAGTTTACATTTTGCATAATACTCTCACGGAGAAACAAGCGAAGAAAAAAAACCATTGAAAACGCCTAAAAAAACGCGTTAGTAAATAACAAAAATATACACACCGGCTCTTAAAAAATGATCACGATGTTCGTTATGAGAACCCGGTACTTAATATTATTTTCGGCAAGCGATTCGTGTAAATATTTATGGGAGAAGACTAAAACAATACAATAGCTGTATATTTGGCAAATAGGTATGACCTTTTCATTTATGAATATAATAGAACGGCAGACGGAATCGTTTAGTTCAGATGGTGAATGTAGTTTTGTGTAAGTACGTAACGGAGAAAAGGTCATAGCCTCGCGGTGCGGACAGATTGAAATCGGATTTTATTTTTATTTTTATTCTACTTCCGTCGACGACATGGAAGAAATGACGAGTTTATATAGTTATTTGAACGAGTTACGAACGTGCGTTTCTCAATTGGTTGAAAAATACAATTATGTGTGGATATTGTACAAACGTATAGCGACCGGTTTGTATTTATACCTGTCGCCGGTCACTTCCGCTTCCGTAGTCGTGACATCGCGAACTGCGGCAAGGACAGCGGGCTGTCGATTTCTTCTCTCGCGGTCTCAACGTGTTTTTCCGAAGCGTCTGTTTTAAGACCTTGTATTTGTTATGAAAACGAGTTTTAACGCACTCACGAACTCAAAACTGGGAAAGGCGAAAAACTGGACGTTTGTTCTTTTGGATTGGTGTGACCGGTTTTTTTCACTACTACTGTAGTGGCGTTTTCAACGGGTTAGGATGTGGAAAATCGTAAATAAATCGTAAAATCTTCTTAATTGCTTAAGTTGACATTGGGAATTGCAAAGCCAAATCCAGAAAAAAAATTTAATCAATAAATCAAGCGTTTTTGTAATTTGGTTGAAATATAATAGAGTATATTTCAAGATTAAATCACTAAATAAATAATCAGAGTTGTTAATGTTGAAAAGCTAATGAGAAGAAAGATATGATCTCTAACCTTCCTCTCTCTGCGCATTGCACTGATTAATCAAAGGATATTTTCGATTTTCGAAGCTATTAAGCTTATATATAATGAATCGGCTCTGGACTACTACGATCGATATAGGTATTCGTCTATCCGAATTTCGCACTATTTTCTCCAGATTTTGTCGTCCCAAGTTTTGCTAGTCTTCCGTAATTTTTCGGCAGTTTCCGTTGACAATAATAATATCATTATGACACCGCAATTGTATTACGTACACATTTTATACTGTTATACATACTTATGTGACTGTTTTGACTCACGTTACGATCCGTTTTTGTTTTCAGGGGTCGTGTTAGCCGTGGCCGTAGCCCTGTTGGTTGGTGGCCTTTTAGTGGTGGCTTTCTTCACAGCGGCCGTCGAGTTGGTCATCGATGACGTGAGTATATTTTTCCCGGGGATATTTTAACGGTATTATTAGCTTTAAACACGTAGGCCTTTAACTTAATTACATAACGTTTACCTAATGTCACGGTTACAGCAAATCACATTGCGGCCCGGTTCCCAGACGTTTGAGATGTGGCGCAAACCACCGGTACACCCCATATTAAAGGTTTATGTGTACAATGTAACAAACGCTGACGAGTTTTTGGCCGTCGTCAATCCTGGAGAAACCCGGGAAAAGCCCATTCTGGACGAGCTGGGTCCGTACGTCTACGTGTGAGTATAACGATTTGTGTTCGTCTTTATCGATACCATTCACGATTATTGGTTTTATTAAACGGATTTTGTTTTTCTCTCTCCAGTGAGACATGGGAAAAAGTCAACTTGACGTTCCACGACAACGGTACACTTACCTACAACCAGCAAAAGGTATACAGGTTTGACCCCGAGCAGAGCGTTGGCTCCGAAGAAGACACCGTCGTAGTGCCAAACATCCCAATGTTGGTGAGTGCACCCCCGTGTAACGCGTCAGCACAATTTTGTCTTCAGACCTTGGGGAATTAAAAAATAATAAATAACTTCTGTATTATCGATTTAAAATACTAATATTGTTATTATTATTATTACCGTTTTTCAACAGTCCGCTACGTCCCAGAGCAAACACGCTGCCCGTTTCTTGAGACTGGCCATGGCCAGCATCATGGACATCCTGAAGGTGAAACCGTTCGTTGAAGTGAGCGTTGGTCAGCTGTTGTGGGGTTATGAGGACCCGCTGTTGAAATTGGCCAAAGACGTGGTGCCCAAGGAACAGAAACTGCCGTACGAAGAGTTCGGTCTGCTGTACGGGGTCGGTACCAATTACATTTAATTTTACATTTTTCTAATAAATATTGAAATATCATGTGTTTTCCCTGTTTTCGTGAAACCCACGAAGAGATTGTTCCTCGTATTTTTAGTACGATTATCCGGTTTTAATAACATAACAATACGTAAATAACGGAATAAAAATCGAGTTACAGTCGATTCAACATTTTTCATTTAACTCAGGCATATATACAGGGGAAGGGGGTTGGGGGTTCAAACATTCCCCCAAAAATTAATAATTGTATAAGTTATTTATATAAATTTATTATTTTTTTCACAAATATTGATTGTTGTACATTTTTTATGACTCCCCCCCCCGAATTTGTATTGTCACGTACCTGATTTAATTGTATCTAATTATTATTCAGTAAATTATTTTTTTTAATATCGATAATCCAGACACATTTAGAACCGTAAAAAATGATAAACACGAGCGAATATAGATAGTTTTTAAAATAGTGAACTAGAACAATTTTAGACGTGCTTAAAAATTAGATATAGATATGTGACAACTTTTTTCTATTCGAAAAATCTACTTTATACATACGTGTAAAAATTCATTAATCGAAAAAAAAATGTAATTACAAATATTATATTGCTTATATTTTAATAATATCATCGTTATTAACACGACGACGACGGTTATTAATAATGACTTTGTTCTATACACATTTACGTAATGACAAATTTGTCCTGAGGGGATTTAGCAATAATTAAGTCGTGAAAGGCATAACCGTCATCACAGCCCCTTCCCTTATCTTGATAAATAAACTTTTATTAACGTTGGTATTTAAATAATATTACATCACACATTTATACAGGGTCAATCAAATTGCATGATCCAGTTAAATTTTCCACGAAATACTCGTACTGATATTCTTTAAAAAAATTACTTATGTAAAAATGTTAAAAACATATATTCTAAAGTGTTACATTGTCCTTATTTTTGTGGGTGAAACGACTACTACTTTGTATTTTCAAATTTCAACCTATATTAAAAATTCAATGAATATTTTAGTATTAGTATTATTAAATGAATTTTGTTGTTAAAATAATTGATTTCCATTAACCCGTTGACGAGATATTCCCCTTTTAAGTTTGGATATGGAGAGATTAGTAGATGAACATAATATTTTAGTAGCAGTACGGCGTGAGGCATTTGAATAGTACTCTTTACTATCTATTGGCTTGACAGAAATCAATAATCACAACACAAAAATGCATTTAAACTAATACTATCTACTTATGGATATTTTATGAGTAATAATATAGGTTGCCTATTGAAAATTAAAATTAGATAATTGTTTAATCCCTCAAAATAAGGGTGACAAAAATAAGGACAACGTAACATTTTAAAATATATGATTCCAAAAGTTTACATAAGTTATTTTTTGAAAAAACAAGTATTTCAAGACACATTTGACTGTTTCATTAAATTTGAATTACCCGGCTCTAAGAATCGTTTACCTAATGGATATTTTTACGAAAAAAAAAAAAAAATTTATCTTAAGCTTAGTCCCCTGAATTTCGAATTATCGACCATTTACTATATAAGGATAATATATATGAACAATAACATATTATCATAAATACCTCCCGGGTGTACCGCAGCTCCAGTTCATCGTCGACCTGTACGGCGTAAGGACGCTACCCGAACTTTTGGGCTACCTTCAGCTGGATCGGCTCCTGTCCGCGGACGGCCCGCTCCTGGACGGCATCTTGTCGGCCGGGGGCGTGGGATTGCTGGGCGTCGCATTACGGCCGACGACCGTCGTCCAGTACGTGAAGCCGGCGAGCCCGACCATTAACGACGGCCGGCTGTCAGACCGATATCCGCTCCACCAGGCCAAAAGCACTTGGATGTCATTGATGGGACGGCCGGTCAGAACGAATACAAAATAATTGATACTACAGAACACCGTCGATTCTTATGAACACGATTCTGGCACCATGAGTGTGTGTGTGTTTTTTTTTTTAGGTCTTTTACGGTCCGTTTTGTTAATCGCACGGCCGTTCCACCATTAGGCCATTTTATAATAACGTATTATCGAGCTTGCATGGTTTTATTTTTATTTTTAATTTTGTCACCGTTTTTGTGTTTTATCAGCAATATTGTTATTATTATTATTGGTGTCTTGTTTGTCTTGCTGTTCGTTCATCGTCACACCTTGATCACAAAGCCCGTCGCATTTTATCATTATTTTATCATTATATTAATTGTGTATTGTGTGTTTTTTGTTTTCATTATTGCTGGATCGTCATCTACTGCTAAATTTGTCTCTTTGCCCGTCTATCCAAATCAGAAAAACGGCACTTCGCGTGACAACATGACCGTGTTCACCGGAGCCAACGACATACGGATGTTCGCGGCCCTGGACAAGTTCAACGGGCGCACGCACCTCCCTCACTGGACCACCGAATCGTGCAATCGACTGTCCGGAGGCAGTGACGGGTCTCTATTCCCTCCTCGCATCCAACAAGACACCGTACTACACGTTTTCGACAAAGACATGTGCCGGCAGTTACCTCTGGTGTGAGTATAAACCGGGTCGTCTCACTCTGTCTTTTGTCGCTTTCTCGTTTTTCCCTTTTTCAAACTATGTGGCCCCCGAATCTTCACCTGACATAGTCTTCCACGTAATTTATATGCACTGCCCAGATATTTGTCCACATTTATTTGCACTCTTTGGTCTATCTCTTTCCATCACGCATTCAAATTATCATCACCTTAATTTATTTTCTTATGTTTTTATCTTCTCTAAAGATTTCACTCTAAATATTTTCATTTCTGCTGTATATTTCTGTGCACTACCGAACATTTTATCACCACCATGTGATAAAATGAAATGAAATAAAAAAAGAATGTGTCTCGTTCGTACAGTTTCAAGAAGGAAATCGAGGGCAAGGGAGGAGTGAAATCGTATCGATTTGGACCGGACCACCGAGCGTTCGCCGACCCAGACCACGAGCCTGACAACAAATGTTACTGTCCATCCAGTAGCCATCATTCTAGTAGTAACAGTTCATCCACCACCACCACGATGCCGAGCGTGTCCACCACCGCACAAACGACCACGTCAGGCCAGTGCGCACCCCACGGCACGTTCAACGTGAGCTTGTGTCAATACGGTGAGTTTATAATGTTTATCACTTTTCTCTGAAACGATATTTTCGGACGAATTAAAACTACTGTACATGTTCTCATGTCTCTTTTAATCTAAACACTAACCACATTTTTTGGCCCATCTTTTTCCTTGACAACTTTTGATATAATATTCATTCGTATAATATTTTTATCACATAAACCTAAATTATTGCTTATATATCGCTGGAATAATAAAATATAATATATTATCATGCAACCTGTTTAATTTGTTTGTAATTTTCTAAAACAGACTCGCCAGTGTTGTTGTCTTTTCCTCACTTTTACATGGGTGATGCGCGACTCCGGAACGCTGTCGAAGGAATGGACCCACCCGATTCAGACCGACACGAGTTCTATATAGATGTGCAACCCGTGAGTAATATAATTTTTACAATATTTATTCGATTTAACCATAACAATAATAACATAAACATGTCGTTACTTTATCGCGTATACGCAGGAAATGGGAGTTGCAATGCGCGCCAAAGCCCGAGTCCAAATCAACTTGGCCGTTAGTCAAGTCATTGACATCAAGCAAGTGGCTACATTCCCTGATATCGTGTTTCCAATCATGTGGTTTGAAGAGGTTAGTGTACAATAATCGACGTTTACCTATTTATTTTTGTATTTAATTAAATTTCATATAAATCATATGATTATGAATACTATTAACACTATAATAATTGACGACATGATTATCTACAGGGCATTGAAGCGCTGCCAGACGACGTTATTCAACTGCTCAAGCTGGCCACGCAGACGCCACCCGTTGCCAAAGCCGCCCTACAGTACGCGTTATTTGCCTCGGGTACCATATTGTTATTGTTGGCTTTGGGGTGCCTGGTACGCAACTCACACCGACAGGAAACCATGTCCCTAGAAGGAACAGCGCACTACAGTCAAGACGAAAAGAAAAAACCAAAAAAGACGATCCCGGCCGCGCCGATGACCGTCATGTCTAATGGTAATGGGAATTCGGCGGCAAAAGCCAATGCCGGGTACGTGGCCGACGACGAATAGCCACCGCCAGATAGCGAGCGGCTGAGAGGAGACAAACGGTTTAAGACGGTGAAGTGCGAAAAAAAAATAAACTCTTTGCGGTCCTTTGGTAATGTATAGTGTGTCCTCTTTATAGCCACCTCTTCGCTGTTATAGTTAGTGGTATAATGTAAGACATGTGACACTGTATATTTTTATTTTTGACTACTAGTTGACGACTTGAGTTTCATATTATTTTTATTTTATAAATTAAAAGCAAAAAAAAACTCTCTTTCTTTGTCGCTCTCTCTCACTCTCTCTCTCTCTGTACGATTATCGATTACTAATACTTTTACTACTGCTACTGTATTATAATATTCGTGGTACGTAATAATGTAGGCCCGAAAAAAAAAAAATGCCGCTGTGTCTAAGAGACAAAAGTAAAACACAAAATTATCTATTGTACATAACAAAAAAAAAAATAAATACATTTTATTATTTACGTGCCTAAACGTTTTATATTATTATAACATATATAAGTATATATTTTTTTTTTTTTGGAAAAATGCTCATATTATTAGTATATTATTATTATTATTATTATTATTATTATTATTATTATTATTATTACTGTTCTTGGTTATTATTATTTTATGTGTGTATATGTGTTTTTTTTTTCACTTGTTGACTCGTGTAAATAGTTAATTATTGTCATTAAGTTTTTTGAAAAATATCTTTTATGTACCTAATTTATTATTCTATTATTACTTTGTAGTTTTTGTAGTCTCTTCGTCCATATTCGCGTTATAATTATAATAACTAACAATTTTTTTTTTTTTATAAAATCACTAGAATAGACTATTCGATGAGCGCGAACACATGAAGAGCACAGGAGAAGAAGGGTTTATCAGTCCTTTTTTGTAAATTTTGAGATAATAATACCATTTTATAATACGTTGAGTTATACATTCTGTGAAAAAAGTTTTTAATAGTGTAATGTTGAAATTAAAATGTTGGATGCGCTAGTTAAAAAAAAATTAAAAATATAATGTCTGTAGTCTATGCAACCGTATAGAAGTTTTGCTCTGATGCTAAACAGTTTTTGAAACCGGACTACCTACTCTTCTTTCCCTGAGCTCTTCATATGATTTAGTATAATAAAATTAATATTATAGTGTAAAAATAATAATAATAATACTAACGGTCTATACATATAATATAATAGAAAACAATATTGAACGTAAAAATGTTATACACTGTGCATTTTTATGATAATTATTACATTGAAATTTATTATAAAATAGGTACAATATATTATATTATTGATATTAGTTAACTGCATAATTATTGTAATATTATAATAATGCTAGTAAGGTTTTCGGGTTTCGTTTTTCGTCTCGTTAATTGCATATTGGACATGTTTGTTGAAAGCGTGTCTCATTTATCGCTCAATTATATAAGATTATCAATACCTCGTACTTATTATTATTATTCGTTTTTTATGTGTACCTATATAAATAATATAAGTTTATGTTTTAAAACAATTATAATATGTGGTAAACAGCTAATAATAATATTAGCGATTGTACAGTGCATGTCCTCCATAATATCATATACATTGAAAAATACGAAGGAGATATGAAATTATAAGTTAGGATATGTTAGATAACAGGTACGAATATTAAAAACAAATTAATTTATGGAAAATCGGGAAACAATCGTGTTTGTTTGATTGATAATAGTTTTTTGAATTTAGACAGTACATACAAATCGTATGCGTTATATTTTATTTATTGTAATATTATAAACAAACGGGCATAAAATAATCCATAATATTATGATTGCTGCGATCCGACTCGAACGTCTACGACAATATAATACATAATATTGGTTTGATAACAAAAAAAAATTGTAATTTTTATCGTATAATAGACAAAAGTATTTGTTGAACTGTGCGTAAACTCGAGTGTACATTGTTCGGTAATATAATACCTTTATAGTATATTTAATATAAAAAAGAAGTTTAAAGTATAATTTTTTTTTTTATTAAATTTTGAGTTTTCTCATCATTTACATTGCAGTTCCTCTTCATAAACATAATTATTAACTTTAGCTGCTCGCCAAGCATTCCATATTTTTTAATCAACTTTCCCCTGAAATAGAGACTACTTCAGCCTAAAATGTCTTTTATATATCTTTTTCTCGGTACTTTATTTACACTTTTAATAACTCCCTCTAATCCAAATGAGCTTTGCATAGGAGATTAGAGTAAGTTGTATTGCAGGTGTATTGAAATGAAACAAATTGGGTTGAATTCCAATATGAATAACACAATGTTTGGTGGAAGGAGTGTTGGTTTTGAACACCTAAAATATAGAACATCAAATGAAGACAAGAGTGTTGAAATTTTATATATGTCAAGCGCCGGTATCCGGTCATTTTGGCCAAAGGGAATTCAGCGAAAGATATTTTGGCGAACCGAAATATTTTTTTTGTTATTAGTTTATTTATGCTGAACGGTAGTTGAACATAGTTATAACAGATACAATTTTTTACATACAAATTTAAATTGTAAAATATTCGAAGGTTATTAGGGTATGTGATTTTTGATTATTTTTTTTTCTTTATATTTTTTTCTTTAGAAATAATCTCCCTCAGTTCAATGATTGCATTACAGACCAGATGCTGGGAAAGTGCAATGTTTTTTTTCAAGTAATACTATTTTATCATTTAGAAACTTTAACTAAGATTCCAATTTATTATTAGCGTCTTTAACAAAACCCAACTTTGCTGAAAGTGTATCAAAGGATTGTTTAAAAGTTAAAATTAAAACTATTCAATTGAAATTCAAGATTACCAAGTTTAGATTGCACATCCTTAACTAAAGTGTCACTTGAAATTTTATTAGATTCGATTAAGTCATATAAATCACGTGTTGTTATAACTGGTTTTTTATTCTGCTTTACTTTCGTAGGTGAATCATGTTTAGTTTCTTGAGTGTTCATATTACGAATAAAAGAAAAATATCGACCAATACACTGTCATTTAAAAACTTGAAATTTATAACTAATTAATTTCTTTCTTCTTTCTTATTTTTCTTTTAGACTGTTGATACGTTTTTTCCTAAAAACTTGATTTAATTACGTGTAGCAACTTTTCTGAAAGCTCAAGTTGTCTTGATTGTACTTTAAACAGGTAGTTTTTTGATTTTCGACGCCATTTTTTAAATAAAAGCACTTAAGTAGGAAAATACGTAGTAGAACGTACAATTTTACGATTTCATTATTTTATAAAAACACGGACGTTTTCTACCAGAAAAAATGATTTAATCGTATAATATAAAATATTATAATTGTCTTTTTAGTTAACTTTCTTACGGTATCAACGCTAAATATTTTAAGCTTTTAAGGAATTTTAATTTTTAATTTACAAAATCATCGGACGACTTATTTTTTTTAATAAGCGTTTTGTGTCATAAGCTCTAGTTTTCCGTTTATGGTCTAGTTTAGAAGTAATTTTACGTATTTGTAAATATAATGGAGAACTGTCTGTATAAACACCTACCCGGTAGAACTTTACATTCTTTATAATTTAATGAAGTCGAGCCATATAAATCATTTTTCTTTATACATATCCTTATAGCCAGGTTTTGATGAGTTTTAAGTGGTTTAATAGCATTATCAGAATAGCTACCCCATACTGATAGACCGTATTGAAAGATCAACTTGTAAAGAGCATTATATACAATATAAAAACATTTCTGTAGATAAGAATTTATTTAGTTTGAAGATAATAGATTTTAATCTCGCAACCAGGTTATCGATATGTATTTTCCACCTAAGATTTCAATCAATAATTAAGTCTAAATATTTCACTCTCGTTACCGTTTTTATTTTATGGCAGTTACATAAATTAAATTTCAAGTTTTGTATAATACAATAGTGAATAATGATATCATCAAAAAAATGTACGTATGGTAAATAGAAAATGCAATGAAAATACTTTTACTTATATTCAAGGTTAGTTAGTTAATATTGAATTCTTTGAAAATTGTATTTACTCCTAAAGTCGTATTTTGATCAGTTACTTGAAGAAAGAAAACATGTGTCATCTGTATAAGATATAATTTGGACATCTATAAATAAGTTACAGATGTTATTTATACATAAAATAAATAATACTGGTCCTAAAACACTGTCTTGAGATACTCCGAAATTGATTACACCCTCATCGCTGTGAACGTCGTATATCGAGGTTTCCTTTTTTCTGTTATTAGGGTATCTTTTAAATCACATAAAACTTTCGTTTGCTATTCTAAAACTTCGCAACATTTTTAGAAGTACATCATGATCAACCGTGTCAAACGCTTTTACCAGATCTAAGAAAACTGCAATTACATTTTTATTGTTGTCTAATTCGTTGTATAAAAATTTGGTCGTCGCGATAGCGCTCCAGTCGTACTTCTATCAGACTGAAAGCCAAATTGATTTTTTGATAATAATTAATTTGTTTCTAAAAAATATATTGGTCTAACTTTAATTATTTTTTTGAACATTTTAGAGAAATTGCAAAGCATTGATATTGGTCTATAGTTCTTAACATTTTCTTTATTACTTGTTTTATGAAGTGGTTTTACAATTTCGAGTTTAAATTTATCTGGAAAAACTCCTTGTTTTAGGCATACGTTTAATATATAGATAAGAGGGTCTACAATATAAGGAGCTTTAAAAATTTAACTCATAGTTTGTCAAATTATTAGCTTCAGTATTATCTTTGAGATTATTAATGATTTTAAGAACCTCAGGTTTTTCTTTTTTTAGGAAATGCTAATTAAAAGAAAAATTTGACATTTTGTTATCGTAGTTATGCGAACTATTTGCAACTAGGTTTTTCCCAACACCGGAAAAATTAAAAATGTTTGCTTTATTAAAGGGGTCTTTTTGGAGACTAAATGTTTAACCATTACTTTCATTACATTCTTTCTTTTTAAACATTTCATTGTTCATGTTTTTATTAGTTTCCGTTAAATTGTTTGTTAATTTCCAAGTAAGTTTTGGATTTGTAATTGTATTAAAACATTTTAATTTATAGAAACTTATTTTCCTGGATCTTAGGATTGAAGTAAAATTATTACGATATTTAATGTAATAAGCGCGTAATTTTAAATTGTTTGGATGTTTTTGACCATTTTTGATGTAACATTTTTATGACGTACCGAAGTGGTATCCTTTTTTTAATGTATTTGTTTTAAAAGTTCACTTAATTTCATAGCTAGTGTTTGCAATATGATTTAGTATTTTTTTTATAAAATATGTCTCATAAAATGTTTCATAAAATAAGTAACTCATTAACAGTAGAAGTACAATAAAAATTAGACCAATCTTCTTGACTTAAAAGTCTACAGAAGAGGTCACAGTTAACACTCTTTATTGTAAATGTACTATCACAGGTATTCGGACTAGATATTGGTACCGTGGTAAAAATAGAGAAATGGTCTGTATAAACTCCTGCTTCGATTAGACTAAAATTAGAAAGTTGGATTTTGATAAAGATATTATCCAAACACGAGTAATTACCTATTGAGGGCAATCTAGTTTATATAATTATATATGATTTAAATCCGTGTTCGGCTAACATATCAATGCAATCGTTATTTATATTCCCCATAATATTAATGTTCATATCGCCAATTAAGAAAGAATAGCCGTTACCCGAATTTTTCTTATCAAAAATAATACGCAATTTTGCAATAAAATCATTAGAATTACTAGCTAGTGATCTATATACACAGTAAAATATCATAGGTATATTATTTTTACATAGTGACAGTTTTAAAATGTTGCTTTAAATAAAACTACAAAAATTATCTGTTAGGCCACATTTCACAAAAATAATTACACCATCATTTTGGTTTCGTTCGGTGGTTGAAAAATATATATTACAGCCAAGTAGTATAAACATACAGTTTTCCACATTGTGCAAAGTTTCTGTTAGAATTATCAAAATTAGCATTGTAACAACGTATGTTAGTACATATTACATTTAAACAAGTATTATGGTTGTTTTTATGATTAAAAGTGTTAACAGTATCAATTATAGAATCAAAATATTTAGTATTAGAAATATTATATTTTTCTATTTCGTCTAGTAAGTTGGACATTTTGAAATAAATGTAATAAATAAATAAATATGATTACTGAGATTAGAAAACAAATTATGATAAAGAAAGTTCGTCAACAATTATTAATGTTTTTGATCCATTATTTTTTTTTTTTTTTGATAAAAAATTGTATTGTTTTTAAATCATATGACACCATAGTAACCGACCTACTTAGCTGTAGCCATTGCTTTGAAAAATAGATTTTTGTAAGTTTGGATCATTTTATCATTGAAGTATAAGGCAGATCCATGTCAAATCCACATCATTTATTTATAGATATTGTTTTTTTGCTAAATCCATACATTTTTTTTTTCATTCACGGAATTGAAACCACACAGATAATTTTCTGGGTTTATCAATAGTAAATTTAAATAGAATACGGTAAGCATTTTGAATTGTAACGTCTGTACTCAATTTGGGTTTAATTGTTTGTAAAGTGTTTGCATATAATTTCATTTTTAATCTCTAGTACGCCAACAATCTCTCTATGACAAGTTTATTTAAACGCCACGATAAATTTACAGTTTCTTTCTTCAATAATACATTTTCTTCTGAGATTCTTTTACTTTCGCTTTTTAAGTCATTTATTTTTGTAAACATCTGCTGTAATTGGTGATTAAAGTCAACAAATTGAAAGCTCATGAAATTCACAGAATCAATGACATTTTTCAATGTTTTATCGGTAACAATTTGAGTATTTCTCGATAACTTGGATGGTGAAAGTGATGTTTTTTTTGTTTTGCAAGTAGAGCAAGACCAATTATCCCTTAAAGATTTAGACATTTTTCTGAAATTCTCTTTTCTAAAGCCTGCGCAGTTGAAATATAAAAACTCTTTACAGATAGTACATTTAATGTCATCACCTACATGGTATGTATACGTTACAGATTAAATACAACATTCCATAGATATGGAATAAAACTTGACAAACGAAAATAACCAGAGATAAGAAAACGTAAATATTGCTAATGAAAACTTTAAACGATATAAAGATGCCAAAAAGTAGTTTCGTCTTATTTAATACATATAACAAAACTATACATTTATATAAAAACAAATTCTGTATCCTTCCTTTTTTAGGCCAAAAAGGGGAAGGGTACATTTTCATATATTTTCCCGTTTCCCTCCGTTTATTCCCGGTTTTTCACATTTGATGATAAAACTTCTGAGAAAATCGAAAAAATGACCTCCCTTAAGTACTTCTCCATTCCGATTTGTGCATATAAATGAGTAGCAGAGTTTTTGTGTTTAGTCTTATTTTTTTCTTAAATTAGTTTTTTTCTTATGTAGAACCTAATGGATAAAGTTCTCCATTAGACCATTCAGATGCCACGTGTGATCCTTTTTGATTTAATACATTTCAATTTACATCTCTACAGATCTTGCATTCAATATGTTTATTTTGAAAATAAATCCAAGGATATTCTTTAGTAAAATAAGTTATCTAAAAAGTAGAACAGATGTTTAACAGTTTAATAATAATATGTATTCAAATGTATTCATATGCTGTACATTATATTACACAATTAAACTGATAATTAATATCCATCAAACTTAGTTTATACCTTATATTGACAAAGTATGCTAAACATCCTGATAGAGGTTTAAATATTTTTATATTATGTTTATATCTTGATACTCAAGTATTACTATATTATATCAAATACCTATAATTTGTTATATTAAATTGTATATAATAAAAGGAATTTGTAAATATAATACATTTTTTTTATACATAACAATTATTAAAAAAATATTCATTTTAAACTACTGTTATGTGCTAAATAATAAATACAACATAATTGTATGTAACTTGTAAAAGTAACAACAATTTTGAAATGTATTAAACCTAATCAACATTGTATCATGTAGGTACTGAATACATTCAATGAGTAAGTGTTATTCATATGAAATTAGATTTATTTTCTGGTTACCTATTAATTGTATTTATAGACAAATAAGATAATATTGTTCATGGCACAAAATATTATCGATATGACCACGTATTTCTTATTTTTAATTCAAAATTTATTTTAAAATGTATATTTTGTATATTTAATATTAATTGGTGACTTTTTAGGGCTACAAGTCCTATGCCCCATTCTTATCAAATAACTTATCTACCTGCTTAAAATTCCAGCATTCAGGAAACTCTGATTCGGAGTGTGGTATTTGTGGTGTTTAAGTGACATGTTTGTTGACAGGAACCGTATTTTTTATACATGAACTTTGAATAATTTGCGCAAAAATCTCACTACCATCAGTCTTTTTGATTTTAGTAAATTCGTACTTTGGTAGACCAGCCATAATACAATTCTGTATAAAGTAAAAACAAACACAATAACAAACTTACTAATGAAATTAATTTAGAATAAATTATAAAATGTAATTTAGAATATATGTATTTTAATTATATAGGTCCTCAGTAAGATATAATAACTTTTCAACTTACCTAATATATATTGAAATATTTTTTAGAAACTTGTAAAATGTACACCATATGTACCACCAAAAACAAAAAACGAAAACCTACCAACTGGTTTTGTTTTCATTAAAGATAAGTCCAATCTTTCTCGCTTTTTCACTTAAAATTTTGGTTGTTCTCTTTTAGACTATCCTTTGTCTCTGCTATTACAACTATGTCATCTGCATATACAGCCAATGGCTTCTTACTATCGAGTCGTAGCCTTGTTTCAAGTATACAAATAGCAGGTACACATATTTATCAAATTCATGACTCTTTTCCATTATTTATTTGATAATATGAATTTGATCAGTGTTGGATTTCCCAGATGCAAAATCTGCTTGGTATTCTCCTACTATCTCATTAGTATATGGTTTTAGCCTATTTAAAATTATGTTCGAGAGAACTTTATACGATGTATTAAATAGGGATACACCCCTATAGTTTTTACAGTCCATTACATGTCTTTTTTTATATATTGGACACAGTATTAAGACCTGCCATGATTTTGGTATTGTTTCTTCTATCCATATTTTATTTATCAGCTGTTTTAGGTTCATCCTTAAAGTACTTTCTCCATTCAAAAGAGTTCAGAGTTCAGACATTATTGAGTCTTTTTCAGGTGCCTTTCCTCCCTTTATCATTTTGACCGCCATTTTAATGTCTTCCAATGAGGGTTCTTCTAGGTATTACTTTACTGTGACTAAATTATTACCACTCGTTTCTGTTTGGGTTGACACATTCAAAATTTTCTCGAAAACTTTTTTGATTTTTTGTGTCACTTCTTCTTTATCGGTAATTAAAATTCCCTCGCCATCTTCATTATAGTTGATATTGGTTTAAATCCATTTTTTACCTTGTTTGCCTTTTCAAAGAATAGTTTTGTATTATTTTTGTAGCTATTTCCGATGGTTTTTATTCTGGCTTTCTCCCAAATTCTTTTGTTTTTCCTGACTACCTGTTTAGCTTTTCTTTGTTTTAAGGCTAATTCTCGTTTATTAGCTTCACTTGGATCTCTAGCATTATTGTTCTTGTATTGTCTCTTTCCATCATGGCAGTCCTGCATTATTCATTAAACCATTTATTTATAGGTTCGTTTTCCTTGAAAACCCAGAACTTCCTCTGCCATTTTATTAATGTTCTTTCTGCCAATATTTTATAGTATAAAGAAAAAATGTATATTGTTTTACACATTATTCTGTCACTTTTGGAAACATGAAATAATTCATAACATCAACTTGATAGTACCCGTATGGCACAAGCTATCGTAGTTATTGGAAGAAGTTGTTTATTTCGAAAAAAAATTACTTGTTTTGGTGAATACATGGAGTGCGGTAAATTACTTTATCTTAAAAATCTGAAGCAATATCTCGATGAAACCAATGCAAATATTGACATAAATTACTTCTGCATAATTATAAAAAAAAAATGAAGGATTAATTCGCCAAATGATTCGAACAATTCAAAATAAAAAAAAGTACTCTCACGTTCATAGTAAATCCACTCAACACAAACACACATGAGGTCAATATTGAAGCATTTGGAATTTGTGCTGGATCGTTTCAAATACGATTGCTGGATTTAAAAAGCAAAGACTTGTGGAGTGACAAGGTTACAGAACTCAAGAGCAAGTCGGAAAAATTGAAGGTCCAGAAATGCGTGCACGTTGCGCAGAACAAGTGGACAGCTCTAAAAGAAATGCCGCAACTAGAGGATTTTATATTCAACGCATGGAATAGTCTTCCAGAATACTACAGTGAAGAAGTTCATATTTGGAAAATTTTTCAAATTGTACCTTTTGGCTCTTCTGTGACAAAATGTTGCCAACCCCTAATCTAGACCCAACCACTTGATGTACATTTTATTTGGAAATTTGTTTTTATAATTTTTTGTTTGTAAAAATATTTTAAAATTGCATTATTTAATATGTGTTTTAGTTATAAGTTATCAGATTTTGGTTTAAAACATTTGTTATTATACATACTTCTATAATTCGATTTGGTGTATACCCTTTACTGAATGCATGCTTATATTTAGATATATTAACTTTGTCAATTATCTTTGGATTTTTTTTTTCTTGATTTGTTTAACTTAAATAACAGTAAATTGATGATTTTTCTATCTTTGAACTGTGTATATTTAATTATTGAAAGTTAAGTAATAAATTATTGTAATAGTTGTAATAAGTTATTAGTTTTGAAGTTGAATTTTACCAAGTCTATGTACCTGTTAATGTAAAATGTTTACAAATTTTACTTTTTATTGGTCAATAACACGTTCAACTATAAACTAAAATGGGTACTTATTGCAGTTTATGAATTCAAATCAACTAATTAAATTATTTTTATTTGAGTAAAATTAGATTAAAGGAAAAAAAAATACTTAGATTATGTTTAAATAATCAAGGTTTGGATAGTGATTTTGTTTTAATTATGCTATTTGATATGTAACATTAAATATATCTTCTTAAACAATACCTAATTTATTTTATTGTGAAATGCTTAATTGAGATTTTCATTATTAATACTTGTAATTACGAATTTATATTTTTCTACAAGGACGCATTCAACTTTTAAGAAATAAATATTAAATTTAAATGGATGAACATATAGGAGACATATATTTTATTGGTTTAAATTCGTATAAAAATAAATGTAAGATCAACTTTAAAATTATATTGTATCAGTTCATAACAGTTTTATAGTGTAGGAAATTTGTGTATGTTTGATCATTATAATAATATGATTAAACTATATTTATGCTATCTACTAGAATAAAATAATATTAATTTATAATAATATATGGTGGTCAATTTAAAATTATTTATTTAATAACCTGATGTGCTCTTTACCATAATAATAATAATAATAATAATACAAATAAAAACAAAATAATAATTATCTTTTCTTTAGTCATTCGTTAATAACAACTACCTTAATTAAATAATAATAATAATAACAAAAAGGTTAGATAATATGAAAAACTGTGAAAAAAAAAAAATTAGTGATATTCACTGAAGAGGACAGTCATCATTGTTAACTTTTCTTCCAGTGCATATTAACCTATGACATTTTAACCTCAATTTTGAAAAAATAAGTTACCACCATTATAGCATTTGTGTATATTTTTTTTTTTTTTTTTTTGATTTTGGTTTTTATACAAAATCAATTCCATCTGATCATTTTTATTGAAATAATATTATTAAATTCACAACCATTTATTAAATCAAATTCTTATTTATAACTTTTAAATAATAGTTCTGAAATATTATTATGAATATACAATGTTTTACTCACATCAATATCTGAACTGTCATATATAATCGCTTCTCCAGGATCACTTCTATCTAGGCAATCAAACAGACTATTTAAGTACAAAGAAAACATTTTAGTTGGTGTTCACTGTCCTCAAGTTCTTTAGTAGACATTTGTCTGTATCTATTCAATCCAACATGAATTGATTAACCAAATATCTAAGATAGCATAATCATCTAATTGATATACTATTAATATTTTATGAAGTTTTTATGAAAAAAATTACCTGTGTCATTACTGAAACTCTCATTTTAGCAAAACTTCATGATTGTATGTGTGATTCAGTCAATTTTGGGCATACTCTTTCATTACCAGGAAGTTTTTTCTCTTTTTCATATAGAACTTAATAATATTTCCACCGAACTGATACAAATTGAGTCTATAATTATTATTTATTTATTTTATGCTAAATGTATATAAAGAAAGGTTAAGTAGTCAGTTGGTAAAATTGTTATACCATAAGTTAATTTGATAAAATAGGATTACAAATAAATACATCTCACTTAAACAAGTGAGGTGTACTTGAAAGTATAAATATTTTTCTGAAATTGACATGAGGATTTTGAAAAAAATGTTTAACTGAACTAAGTTCTTCAGTTAATCCAAATTCTTTCCACATTCTTTTCATGCCTATTTGGTTTAGCAACATCACATATTATTGTTGTTACCTTAGCACCTGCCTGCTCAAGTAACATAATTGTTTGAACTACTAACTTAGCTAATGTTACACCATTAGTAGCACTTTTAGCAGCACATCAACTAATTGGTTAAAAATAGTTTTTACAAAGAGAAGAAAACCCAAATAACAAAACACGATCTTCCAAAGCTTCATTCTTTGTACCACTAATATCGTCATCACCAAAATCTACAACTCCTTGTAATGAAGAGTTTTATAATCAGTTTTTAATGATTTACAAACACTTATTTCAGCAAACATGAGAACACCATGATTTATTTATTGCTTTGTTTTTTGAGTTCATCTAATTTTTGAAAATGTCAATGAATGAAGGATCAAACCCAAAATCTAACTTATCTGATTTAAGATGCCTTTTCATTGTTTGAACACAAGGGAAAGGGAAAATTTCATTTTTAAGCATAAATTTGTACATTGCAGAACTACGAATATGCAAAAGCAAGCATGTAAGCAACCAGTATCTTCTACTTATTTTTGCATTATATTTACCTATCCTTAGACATTCATTGATCACTATAGCTTAAGCAGAACTAAGTTTAAGACATTTAACATGCTGTTGAATAAATTCTTCAGAAAAACTCTAAATTTTAAGTTGATAGAATTTGACCATATTTTTGAGTTTGTTACTTTTATGTAATAGCCTAATTCTATGCTTTCTAATTCAGAAAACAGAAAAAGAAGATATTTCGATAAATTAAAAAAAGCATCATACGAATTAAGAAATGAGAACATTGGTGGTTTAGTAAATTTATTTTTTAACTATTATTAAAATCATAAATTACAAAAATAAAAAATTATTAAAAAAGTAAAAATAATTTTAAGTACTTATTAATAGTGTTTTTACAAATTGTTTCATTGCAACATACTTCTTGGGAATTTTATCCATTCATAAATACTAATGGTCATCTAGAAATTTTTTTTCTTGAATGTTTTTTAGATTCTAATAGTAGATTAGAATAGATTAATTATTTTTTTTATATGTATTTTATTATTTTGTATTTTTTGTGTTTGTGAACGATTTTTCTACCAGAGATCTTGTTTAATCAAAAAATGTAAATGATCTTTTTAATTACATTTTTTATCTTGTAATTGAACAAGAAAGTAGTTTTTTAATAATTAAGCAAAACCGAAAAAACTAAAAAAGAACAGGAAATTTTGTGAAAATATTGTTTTTATTATTTTCAATTTTGTTTTTTGGTTGTAATTCAGTTAAAATATTCTTAGAGACTTGAAATTTTGTCAGATAAAATAATATTAACCTTAACAAATATTATAACCAATAATAAATATTGAAATGTCTATTTTGAAAATAATTATTCCACCATTTTAGTTTATATGATTTATAGTGTTAAACATGGTGTATTTTGCAATTTTAAATTGAGAGTAATCAGAGTTAGGTAGGCTTAATGATGCATCTGTTAATACAATTAAGTCAAAGTAGATTACTGGACTATCTAACGTAATACAAAATTCTTAGAAGTTTTTATTAGTGTATCTTATGTTCACATATGTATTATATTTAATGATTATAATAGCATTAGCTATAAATATTTTCAAGTTCTGTATAGAAACTTAATAAGTTATTCATTTGACTATAGTAGTTTATACAATTATCAATAAAAATATTATTCTCAGCTATTTTTGTTTTCTAGATAGAATATCTGTGAATTAGTTATTACTGTTTTTAATAAGGTTAAAATAATATTATATAATATTAACAATTGTATTAAAATAGTTATTTTTGATGTGTTTGAAAATATTTTCAAATAATATACATTAGTTTTTTGTCTAATTTAGTATTATTTGAGTAAAATGAAATTTGTTTAGTTATCATTTTAAGTTGTTTACATGTGTGACACATATAATACTAAATTAAAGATTTAATGCTATATAAGGTTAAAATAGGTTGTAAATAAGTTATAAATAAAAGTGTTCCAATATAATATAATGTGTGAACAATATTAAAACTAAAAATGTTTGATCTTTCAATTACAAAGTAAAAATTAAAGTATAATACTGTTGAATTTTAATTATTAAAATATTTTAAAAAATAAATAAATTCTTCATTAATTTATACTTGGGTTTTTGGACATTTCATTATTTTTACAATATATTCTACCATGAATTTTCCAAATGTATCTGTAACCTAGTTCTTTTGGCTTTGTTTCCCAAAATTGTTTTCTGTTGTATAGAATTATATTTTCATTGATATAAATTCTTGATCCCTTGTATTCTAATTAGTAGTTTTCATGTTTCTTTATGAATTGGTAACATTTTCATTTAAATGAAAGTTCAACAATTATAAAAAGTGAGTATAGGTTTTGATTTAAAGAATTCTATATGCATTTTAGATGTCAAAAAGATGAAAATTAATATCAATTTGTGATGCAATATCATTAACTAATTCTTTAGTATTTTCATTATTAACTTTTTTTAGATCCTTAATTTCCATAAAAAAAAGCTCTCTCATTTTGTTTTAAGAAATTTATTTTACATTCTAAGTTTGTAATAATGCACTAATTCTCTTTTAACATTTTTTTAAGCTCTACAATTCTATTGCTACAGTTGAAAAGGTATTATTCATAGTGATTTAGTTGTTTATTTGTTATTTATGACATCATCTATTTTGCTTAAAATTTATTTAATATCAATGTTAAAATGTGTTACTGTATTGATATATATATAGCTTGCAGCTGAGAATTTAATCTTATGGAATTCTTTTGTCTCTATAATGCTTAAGAAGTTTGGTACAATTCTCATGGTCCAATGAGATCTCTCTGGTTCTCATGTATTCTGTGCTGCTTTCTGTATTTAAGTTTTCAAATTTCATATGAAGTACTGATTTGTAAGTAGAGCATTGAATAATGGATACATTTCTTGAAATCCATTACTTGCATTTCGAACACAGTATCATATTTAAATTGTAAATAGTATAGCACCTACCATACTGGTAGTCTAATTAGAACTGAATATTTCAAAGAATTTGCAATATATATCAGAAAAACTTTTACAACTACATA